CAGTATATCTTTTTTATAAATAAACACGAAAAACAAAAAAATATTTGCCAAAACTTTTGAAAAAATAAGTTACGTCATTGGGAAATAGTTTAAATGATAAGCTCATGGACCATTAAGAAGTTAGTCAATTATGGACAATTTAGGGCCTGGGACGAATAAGTACTGATCCAGGTTGTAAAATCTCGTATAATAGAGATCAGAAATTAGAAAAATGAGAAGCGTAGTTTTTGGTACAGTTTTGTTCTCTGAGCTGGATGGTTTGGTCGAGGAGCTTTCATAGTTATTCCGAACGACATCATCAGCACAAACTTCAGGTAGAAGTGAAGTGTTTGGAGAAGCATAGTAAAGGAATTAGTAACAAATGAAGTCAAAAACTAAGGACAAAATGTATGGTTTAAAAGGGATAAATGAGGATGAAAGCATGGAATAACACGAAACTCAAGATTTAGAGAAAGATGGAGAACGGATGCAAATGCACCGCTGTTACAAGATTTAAATCATATAACCAAATATATCCGACCAAAGATTACTTTGATCCTGAAAAGGCCAAATAAAAAATCTGCGCGTACCTAAGCGAGAAGTGACCAAATCCAAAACATAACATATGTTTCATATTACCGAGTATTCAAATTGACATTTGACAGTAAATAAAACACACAATAAACTATTTGATTTAAAAAATTGGATAGAAGGTAAACAGCTATGACTTACTGCAATTGCAAGTTTTGTATGATCGCTTGGATGCCAAGCAAGTCCAGAGCATCCTAACTTTGAAGGTAAGGAAAATGCACTGTACTGTGAAGGATGTTTCAATGGGCATATTACAAGTTCATCAGTTCTAGATAATAAATAAAAACAACAAATAGTATTTGTACAACCTTACTAAAGTTATACGAATTTGTCATAGTTTAAACATAATTTGAACAATGAGGTTAAATTAGCAAAAAATAATCCAAATTCACACTCTATATTTCTTTATACATCACCATTGTCGATTTAATACAATGTGCTTTACAAAATTACAAAACAACTGTACTCATTCATTGGGCAGTGAAAATCTTTCTTCAACTAATACTTTTAATCACAATTAGTGAATAAACGGAGTTAAATTTGTCAGCAGATAATTTAGTCCTAGCAGATTGTTTCATATTGAAACTGGAAAACAACCAATTTAACTCGGTAATCGATAGATTTAACCTGAACAAAAGATATAAAGACGACACTTTTATCATTTTCAATGAAAATATTGACTTAATTGACATTTTGAGTTCTTTCAATACATACTATACTTTCCTAGACTTTACTTTAGAAAATGAATCAGGCCATTTTATCTCACTTCACGATATGCTTCTGACAAAGGGTGATGAAACCTTAAAAAGGTTCATTTACAGAAAACAAACATGGAATGCCCAACTAACCAACTTCTATAGCTGTGTTCCATTAAGTAGAAAAAGAAATCTTACTCGGTACTTGTGTTACCAGATAAATACGATCAATGGTACTAAATGCAATGAAAACTTGAGTTTCTCAGAAAAACGATGGCTGAAGTCGGTTATCCAAGCCGCTTTGTAGAGAACACGAAGGAAATTCGGAGCACGGAATCTGGAAATTCTGTCCCAAAGAAAAATTATTGTATGAATCCGGAATTTAAGGGTGACCGAAATCCTGATGCATTTGAAAATCGGCTATCGATAGATGTGCGATAAAGCTGAGACTAAAGTTTACTAGTAGAAATTTGTCTACCGTATGCGTAAAGGTTAAGTTCCCACATCTAGTTGCCCCTATGTGCATCTACCAGTTCACTTGCTCTTGTGGAGCAAGGTACATAGGCTGCAGCCAGCGCTCGCTTTTAACTCATATGATAACATGTTCCAGTGTGATTCTATAAAGGTGAGAGAAAAGAGTTAAGAGTTCTGTTCAGGAATATTTAATCTTTAGTGGCCCTATATTTAAATGCCAAGTAAACTGTATAATGATGTTATCGATGGGCCCACCACTTTTAGTGTGGCTCTTTATCTGACTGCAATTAAATCGTATTATGATTGTCATAGAAATACACATCCCAGATACCCTCGGTATAATCATCGACTTCACTCGCGTTAGTGAATAACGGTATTGAAAGAGTCAAATACGAGGAATGGTTTCGAATATGTATATTTCACACAATCGTTGATCCAGACAGACGATCAGAGAAATGAAGCGGAGAAAGCGAAGAGGAAGGAGGGAAGCGAAACGAAACGACGCTCAGAGGAGAAGGCAAGTGAGACAACCCAATTTTGATCAAGCGAGATTCAACATTTATATTCGGACAAAAATAAATTACAGACGCTTGATGAATAGGATAAGTAATTAACACATATACGATCATATAAAAAAGTCAGGATTAATAAGCGAATAAATGACAAGGTCAAAATGTAGATTGAGAAGAATGAATAAGCTAGTTTGTCCAGACGTTCGAATAGCCTATGTGGGTTTGACATGATACCAGGCACTACAAGTCGATCGTAGCTACGCCATTGATCCACAGGTTGATTATTTTTAGGTTGCTTAAATAATTCGTCCATAACTTCCAACATTTCTTCATTCACAACTTCTTAAAACAACAGATCTTACCTTCCATGAAATGAAGACATAAATATATGCACAAAAAATGTACGTCCTGTTCTTAAATTTACTATGGCCTTAATCCATCATTATTATCACCTTTCACAAGCTAATAGCTATCAGGACTCAGTAGTTAAGTGGATATTGCGATGCCCTTTGAAGTGAACGGTACTGGGCTCAAGTCCCAGGATGAACATCAATTCTGGGATGCAGGTACATACAGTTGATGAGTCCCAAATAGGACGAAGTGAGCTTTCTATATTCCACTGCTAGCCACTATCCATATCTGCTTATAATGCTTGTGAATCAAGGTAATATCGAGGAAATCCCCACAGGATTCGCGTATGTCAATAAGACACTGATCAAACGCTGTCCTAAACATCAATGAGAAGATTTGAACAAACAATACAAAAATGAATTGTTATTATTATCTTTTTTTCATTTCATATTAGAAATATCCCCCTATGATTAATTATTTTTCACATTCTCATGACTCAATTCATAATTGTTTCAGACATCATTTCATTTAACCCCTCTATTACCTTTAATTATTGTAACGAAAACATTTTAATTATCTTATTCCATCCACATTATAATCCACTGTTAATGTATGAATAATACAAGGCATTTTATTCCCACACACAATCGTGTCATTATTGGCATTAAGTAATCTAGTATTATAACTTTCCCATTATATATATATATATATAACTCACCCACATAATGCAACACAACGTCCTATAGGATCAGCAGCAATTTGTGAGATCTATAATAATAATAATAATAATAATAATAATAATAATAATAATAATAATAATAATAATAATAATAATAATAATAGTAATAATAATGGCGAGATACACAAGATTAATTAACATTTTGAAGCATTTAATTAAATATTAACATCCTATATACGAATGAAGCAGTTCTCAAGTTACATTTTGAGCACAAACACCTAACTAAGATGTCATCAATAAACTTACACAAATGTAAACCTGTGTTAATTTAATTCGGCTATTTATCCACTCTGAAGAAGTGGCTTACATATGAAGTTACGAAACGTCAGAAATACAACTCTTCTACTCATTGGGTTATAGCAAAAAGTATAGTTATAATCAGGAAATCTTATGTAAAAGATACAAGTGAGATCATCTCTGATCACTTTTTTATACCAATAACCTAGTAAGTAATGGTTTATAAAGTAGATAGTGGTCGATTGTATATCAGTCGTCATAATTTACGCACATAGACGACATAATCAAATAATTTGCTGTTGTCACTTAAAAAGTTATACTTCGGAATATTCACCAAAAGTGATTATGTCCATCAAAGTAATCGCTCATCAAGTTACTTATGAAAGCTTATGAACAAGTCAGATTAATTTCAAATTGGTAACAAATGAAGAAGTCATAAGCAAATCATCTCAAGAGACAATAAAATATGACATACCTGGAACCCTTTTAATTCCAATAAACTTGTATTATGGTTAGTCTACAAATTAAGATAAACATATGCATATGTATTAAATATGTAACAAACTATAAATAAGATCTGAAAAATATATCACTAAAATGACTAAAAATATACAGAGAATAAACGTTAACTTGAACAATCGGACTAACAATAGATCAGAATACCAGAAATTGAAGTTCATATCGATAGAACAGTTAGGACAGATAAAGTTAAATTCAGCAAAAGTGACGATGAGTCATTTGTAGGACAGTCTCCAAGCTAAAATTCCAAGTTTATAACCTCTAATATTACTAGGTAGTCTGTATACACAAAAACAAACAATAGAACGGTTCAACGGTGCAGGTATTTACTTTTCATAAAATGAACTGATAAATTCAAATTTGATATACCAACTATTGCCCTACAAAAGTCCAATGGGGTTTTGGATTGAGACAGTAACACTTAAACTGTTTTTGGAGCTATAATAGGTTCATGCTAATTACGTCCTATCAACTTTTCATACATTCATCCATCTATTACATAAAATCCCAACGTATATTACTGCTATATAAATATTAGGATGATTATTTCAGTCATTTGAATCATATACCAAGTACAGGTTTATGTGATTGCTAACGAACCATCATTTCCGTGTACAAAAGCTGATGATACTATATGGTTGAACGGATGAAAGTATATGGAATAGGATCCAGACCCGAGACCTATTTGTTAAATAGGAAGAAGCTACCACCCCACTAAGCTGATTTCTTGAAGCAAACTAAAACCACAGAAAAACGTGCACGCAGCTGTTTCTAAGAACACTAACACGATATACAACTTAATAGTTATTTATGAATTAATACACCTCACCCTATATGAATTAAAATAAAATAGATAAGACAACGAAAGACTACAAGCCTAGATAAATTAATATGTATATAGTTCTACGAAGCGCCATTTTCAAACAAAGCTACCGTTTTATCAAGTTATAATAAGTACACCCAACTCTCGTTCAATATTCTCTGCAATGCATCTAAGATACTGTCATAACGTAAAGAAACTGATAATCATGAATAGATAGTTGAATAGCTAAGTTCCTCACTCACATCATTTAGGACAATCTGAAATAACTTCCCATGACAAAAAAGCAAATAAAACTCAAGATATGACATAGACTAGCTACCAAAAATATCACAGTTGTGACTTAACTGGTGAATCAACATATGCACTTCTTTGAAATACGAATAAATTGTAGACAGTATAATGGTTTCTTAAATGCTACATTCTTAAGCTTTTATTTAACACTTATAGTAAGTGGTAACAAATGAGGTGAAGTTGATTTGAATGAATCACGAAATGATAGACAATCGAGTACATGAACCACTACTAGACGACAGTTCCAAGTTTGAAAAAGTATAATTTAATACATAGGACCGTTAGAATACTGTGATAAACTGTCTAATAACATAACACATTTAACCAGATCCAATCTGTAATTACTGTCATATACATTACAATCTATAAAGGACGAACAAAAGTCAAGTTAACAGTAAGCAATAGAAGACACTAGCGCTAAAACTTTAAAACATCATATTCCTCTTATTAATAAGACAGCAATCAGGGCATCAACAAAAATTCAAATAAGGCGCAAAACAATACAACATGGTGTGTATTAAGATAGCATTGTAATAACATTAGAACTATACATTTATGTATAAAAAACTTTACAAATATATACGTATATGGGAAAAGTGAAAAACAAAAACAATAAACGACAATAGAGGAAGAACAAAGAAGATTATTAGTTGAGATCAATCATACTACATAAAATAATTTTGCATTATATTAAAAACAACAAAATATGATAAACAGGACCAAGTGTGTTCCGAATAATAATAATAATGGTAAAAAATAGTAATAGAAACTTCTGAAAAAACCTGGTAGAGTGAAATAAACGAAGAATTTTTAACATTATAATTGGTAGCTAAACAATAAATATTCTAATTGGAGACCATAAATATGTGCACAGCACATTGCCTTCGTTGAATGTGAAATGTGAACAAAAACAAAGAGGAAAGTTAAAAATAGAGAAATATAATACACCTACATGAATATTCACATATTTGACTTTTTTTTAAAAATTTGATAATATATGTACATTTACAACACGGTAAATATCGAATAAATAAAAAGTGTAATTGTTACAGTACGTGTATAAAGTATTAAAGGCACTAAAGAGTGACTTCCTTTATTGATAGATATTTCTTATTTGATACATACAACAACAAGATATGACAGGTTTGCATTAAATACATTTCATACATAGCAGACATTAGACCATATTTAGTGCATCATTTTAATATTTTAGTATTTTAAGTAAAATTTCTCGATGAAATATAATGATTAGTTACTTTCTTTAAAAAAACGGTAGTAAAGGAAACAAATTAGACAATTTTATACAATCAGAGTAAAAACTATCATCACACGAAAATAATTCCTAGAAAAAGAAACAAAACAGAAGAGAAATTAATTAGCTAGACATTTCTAAGGCAGTAGCTCCACTGCTATCTGTCATTGCACTGGTGTTTTTAGATTCTGTTGATAAGCGTGGATGTGTCTGGGATATAGATACAGAGCAAGTAGAATCTTTATGATCTGGTGATGAATGTATTTTTGGTTCATCATCAGGAAAAGTGTAATGATTAGTAGAGATGCTACAATTGATATTACTGGAAAAAGAACTTTTATTGTAGACAACTTTTTCGTTTGCCATTATAGACTCTTCATACTCTTGTCCATTTTGCAGTCGCTGTTTACAATTAGACTTCGGTATTTCTTCAAATCGTTGACGTTTTTGTGGTTTTAAGTTTGCATCTAATTGACTAGAAAACTTCTTGAATCGTTTTGATGATTTTTTAGATTTTGTTACATTAGCGACATACTTGTCGCTGCCACTACGTAAGGAACGGTAACTAGTAGGAGACATTAAAGAGTTTATTTCTTTTGATATTCTACATTTTGACTGACAACCACGTGGAAGAGAGGATAAACCTATGCAATTACCGCGACTAGAACCACTAGTCAGTTTCTTTCGCTTTAAAGGTGACATAGAGGAAGTACAGCGTAATCTATCTTCTCGGTGACTTCGGCGGCTCTGAGATGAACAAGATGAATTCAAAGAGACAGTTCGTAAAACGGACCGCCTGGATTGTTTGGTTTCACGAGAGCAGAGCTTTGGTTCTGTAGATAAGCTAGCTTTAGGAATGTTTTCTTCTTCTTCACACTCATCATCACCATCATGAGCGGCTTGTTCAGCCTCAAGAGCAGCTTGTTCTTTTTTGACATCAAACAGGCAAGGACCAATTGAGTTAGGTGGTGAGCTTGCTCTGCTTAGTGTGTTGCCTCCTGCTGAACTGGATGCAGGTGAGTACGATCTACAAGGGCGCATAGGCTCCTCAACTGGTGATGGACCAGATCTTGTCATACCAAAACTAGGCTTTGATGGATATTCGGAAATTTTAGGAGGCTTAATATCAATTGGATCGTTAAACTCGTACTCCGAAAGATGGTGTGGCCGTGGGTTAATAGGCGCATTGGTCAGTGAGTCTGTTGACGATATATCATCGGCTAAAGTATTCGGGTTGGGTCCGAAACCCTGAAAAATAAAACGGAAACCATTAAGTACGTTATACCAACGATTAATTATGAATAGTATACGATATCAAGGGTATAAATCAATATTAACAGTTAGAAATACCATAAGTCATACATTAGTCTGCGACCCCGTGGCCGAAACAAAGGGAAACTATTAACAAACAAAAACCTAATGAGGCGACAATTAGTACAATGTTTCAAAATTAAGAAATTCATCTGAAAACAGAGCCGAAGTACCAAAGACACCATTACCTTACCCTAAAATATATTACACAGATTTATGATGCTTAAGACAGCTATTAGTTTTTGTATGTAAGGACGAGATAGTTGAAATTTCAAAAAAAACAGTGTAAAAATATTGAATATCACAAAAAGGAGTGTCATTATGAGTTATCACACTTTGCAAGAACATACATTGAAAAAATCGATAAAACAGCGTTAAAGTAAATAATAGACGATTGTTGCATAATAAGATACTCAGAGTATAAGAAAAAAGGTTGAGGAACTATACACATGAAGGACTGTCATTGATTTAACGCAAACTACAAATCATCTAGCAAGCAAATACTAACACTAGCCCGACCCCGCGGTTTGTCTTTTCCAAAAGTTCTGTTCTGTTTGAATGGTCTGGCCGATTTTCTGGGTGATCAACAAGTAGGATTTTTGGTGTACTTCAAAAAATGCCATTCATAACTCTAATGAAACACTAAAAATCCACATGTTGTCAACTCGAAAAGTATGTCCCATGTGAGCATAACCAAGGATTGAGTGTCAACGGGGTGCGAAGTCACACTTAACTTCAGTGAGTAGAAAGTCATAACAGAGCAAGTTCTCATTACCGGTAGTTTATGTGCTGTAAGGTTAACAGGTTATATCAATGTGAAAAGAACTGACATCGGAAACTGTGCTATTTTGCAATCTACACCTATGCTTCGATAAACTACAGCTCGGATACAATAAAGAATAAATTACATTAACAATTACATGACCTCAAAAAAAAATGTTCAACGGATATAATGGTGCTAGCTGGGGACTGAGTGTAAAGATCAGACAATTACGAACAAAGAGTCGTTCCGATAAACAATCAGGACTTACTGGTCGTAGGTTAAATAAAGGAATCACATTATCCAGATCAAACCCTTTTCTGGTCAGCCCCAACTTTCATGAGCCATTCCCAATATACTACCTGGCGTTTTCTCTCTCCTCTAATTAAGCCTGGACTCAAAGTGATCACGTTGCAACCACCAACTGGTGATGGTGTGGATGTGCAAAAGATTTTCAACTATTATGAGGAAACAATTTAGACTCTGGTATGCTCCAGAATGCACTTGAGTCATCTGTACATTTTGATGATCGTCAAACTTATCATAGTAAATAGATTAATTTCAGAACATTGGCTGCACTTACGATTAGATTCAAACACCCAACACTGGTTTAATTATTTAATACCTGTTTCAAAAATGACGTCCTAGACGTTTTTATGCAGTGCATTACTTAATAATCCTGAGTGAAGACAATTGGAAATTGGTACGTTTATGACTCGGTCTTAAGAAACACGGGATATTTTTGTTAGGTAAGAACTCATTACTCTATCCCGAGTTCCTCAAAATGGTTTTAAAGACCATGCACACTAACGGTTTGAGATATCAGACATGCTCTAGAAAAGAATCCAGTGGATATACAGTTAGGAAGTTGAAAGAAATCAACATGACACCCTGGACGTAAGTTTCGATTTAGGTGGCACTCATCAGTGACGGGTATCTGAAGTCATGGTGGAAGTGATGCTTTTCGTGTGGTGATAAATAGCACTCCTCAGAGTCAAAATCTGGAGCGTTAACACTGGGCTCTAAGCACTGACTGGTCTCTCTCCCTCTGGTAGGGCTGAGATTATCACCTAGTATTTACCAATATACTAATGCTTTATTAGTTTTGTTTTATTATTCACCAAAGTAATAAACACTTTAACCGGACGTATTCTATCTTAGTTGTCTTCTTAATTGGACTGTATCTTTTTAGTAAATACTGTTTTTGTGTAACAACTTAAATCGACGTACATATGTTTCAGTTTTTACGTTGCGCATGACTGACTGGCTGATTAAAATATCATTTTTGATATTTATTGATTTCATTACCTCTCATTTTATTCTTGGCCTCCAATTATACCAAAGACTTGTATTTGTTATGAAATCAACAAAACAAGTGATATGGTATTTTTTAAAATTTTATAATTAAAAGCTGGACTCTCGTAGAAGCGCCAGTAGTGATAGTTGGCTAGTCAAACTGAAGTGGATCAAGTCCTATTTAAGCTTGCGATTCAATATTTGGAAGTCGGAAACTCGGACTAAGAAATGATAATGTGAAAATAATAAGATTTGGCAATGACAATCAAAAGACGTTAAGTAACTGTCGTCATATGAAAATCATATACGAACTGTTTCGGAATAAATTCACACGACGGATCGTATTATAGATTTTGACAATTTTTCGTCAATCAGTTTATAGAAAGGGGGGTTAGGCATAACCGTGTTGTTACCACGCATCACAAAACGAGAGGCGAAGAGATAAAAAAGGAACAAACTTTATTTATTGAGACATCCAATTTTATTCACATCGAACTGAGCAGTTCGAGTCCTCTTTAGGACATACTGACATTCAGGTTAATTAGACGAGGAAACATATACAAAGTGAGACCTAGCACGAATAAGCCCCGGCCCTAGTTTCCAGGCTTCCTGTCTGCAAAGCAGGACAAGACCAGCAGGGTGGAGAGCACAGATGGTAAAACCAACGGTGCTGGGAAGATAAACAGTTGTTGGGAAGGAATGCATAAGATAAGAGAATGAAAACTGTGGAATAACACCAGACTTAAGATTGGTTGGAAGATAGAGTATGGATGAGACTGCATTAGTGCAACCAACGGTGTCATGTCAGCCGGCGTCACCAACTATTCATTATGATTATTGCCCTAACCTCAACTAGGAGACAGACCTAATGTACTGATGTTATGTCTTGATGTGCAAACTATCTGCTTCTTTCTAGCCGACTCATGTACCAGTAAGGGTTACTCAGCGGGGAGTCAATTGTCAGTCAGTTACAACGTAGGACCAGGCACATATATGCATCGGTCCAAGTTGCTATACCTCATTAACACTGCAAAACGAACACCGGATTCATAGCAGTTAACTCAATGGTGTAATATATAAAGGAAAGATTTTATGTAAGGATATAGTACAGAAAGAAAGAATTAGTTAGTAGAAAGAAAGATATAAAGCGATTTTAGTCTCACGGTTTAAGGAAAGACAAAGAGTGTATACACCTACGCCATTGTGACCTATTCTGAGCCATGTCACTCAAAGTCTCCAACCATTGGTTACGATAATCACGCGGACCTCAACCAAGTAGTTTGCGCCTACCAACATGACTCAGACCAGAAGTTGGTGCCTTCAATGACTGATGCCACGTTCTGCTTTGGCTGCTCCTAACTTTTTTCCAACTATCTTTAACACTAGTCAGCGCTGTACGTCGTGGTAGTCGGTGTTTAGGCATAAGTAACACGTGGTCCAACCATCGCAGTCGATGAAGATTTACAACCTCATCAACTGATTTAGCATCATTCCCTAATACCTTGCGTCATTATTTATACTGACATTAAATCATGACATTTACGCAATTGTATAACTCATTGAATCATAATATTACTAACGTTATATTCCCGTCATGACACTAGCAACTCAATGAACTATTTTTTGTTATTTAATGACGTAAATGTTTCCTTCTGAAAGTGAGTTTACTCCAATTTTGCGTGTCATTTTTCCTCATTATTACATACTCATCCACGTAGATGAGGTTGTTTTTGTGTTATCTTACCGAATACACTTTGCGATATCGTCTCCTATTATATTTGTGTATTCCATCAATTCTAATAAGCTTTTTTTCTCTAAGACCGATAATTTTCACTATGTTCCCAACCATCTGTCATAAAAATACCTCTACGGAACTAATTATTCATTTTTGTGGTTATACGGCTATATAGTACATTCATACATTCACACAAGTTGGAGTCAAATAAACATGCCGCTATGATTTGCAGTGAACTAAACTAAACTAAACGTGACACAATAGTTTGGATTTAGGAAACAGATTAAATGTTGCTAGAGGTGTTCAAACAAAATCATGTCATCTGAGTAACTTATGTCGATGAGAGAGCCTGCATTTATGAGATCATCTGGAAAGTCAGATGAAGGGTGATTTACTTGTATTGGGATCCTCGAGACTAAATGGAACAAAATCGTGAAAAATAGAGTCCTGGGTGATATAACTTAAATCCACCAATTCGGCGTAAGCTCCGATATGAGCAGTTACTCGGATTAACAGGATTTAGATCAATGAAGTCCTTTACTTAGCTTTTCAATAACAGGTATTACAGAAGTGGATATTATGTTTAGATTAAGGATTATGACATGAGTAATTTTAAAACGGCTTGTTATAACTTGACTGGGATTAAGTAGTGGTCGGGTGGTCACCATCATATTTAATGAGCTAGAAGGTCGGAAGTAAGATATGAATGTATTTTAATTGGTTTATTAGACATATAGTTCAGTTTGTTAGTGAAAACTTCAAAATATACCTAAAAGAATGGCTTCAAGATATCATAATCTCGAGTTACTACAATAATTTATACACCCCTGAATCGATGCTTTAAAAAAACAATGATAGGGATTAAAGTAGTAAGAGATCAAACAGAGTGAAGACTAAAACGATAGACTCAAATCTTCAGGAGGTATGGTGACAGCTGACGCCTCATGATTACTAATACCAAGTGTTAAGGTAATTAGTCTACCAGGTACAGATCTATATACTTGACATTCAGCTACGTGCTTTATTTGGAAAGTGAGTAGTTCCACAAGGTTTTCTAAACCAAAGACAAGGTGGGATTCCTATCCACAGATTGATATTAAATCAAACGCTTGAGTCTGTATGGTAGCGCTGAACTTAAAATATGACTACTTACAGCCATTTACATGTGATCCCTTGTGAAAACCCAGTTTTCATTTTAAGATATAAGATCCGTACTCCTTAGATCTTATTTTATCCCTCCTTTCAACTGTAAAAAAGCAGTAGCTTTTAGGGTGCTATGTGTTATGTGTACGGATTCTAAACTTCAAAATCGTCAGCAATATGCCTTTGCCCTTGGATATGAGATTACTTCCTTTACCAATTACCTGTACAACCAAATTAGTTTGCATGGAAAAGTGTGAAATAGTGTTTTAAACAAAGCGGGTAAGTAATCTTGACTGCTACAACTAAGATAATCTACAGCCACAAATCATACATATATATGAACCTATGACACCAGCTAATGTATGTATTTAAAATAAACTTTTGATAAAACGGGATTTCACACGTAATTTATTAGGAAACAAAGTGGATTAGTATTCTTGAGGTATTGGTCTAACTACGTCATTCAGGTTTGGGATAGAAATAGATATCAGTAAACATCACATGGTATATCTATATAGCCGGCGGGCACTATCAAGGTCATTTCAACGATGGAATAAGGTTGGGCATAAATTATAGTCTCACCAGGATGACACTTGCGAGCCTAGAAAGCCAGTGGACACGTGAACATCTAGTGTACTGTAATAAATACAGTCGTTTCCTTAATTCAGATGATGAGATAATAGAAAGGTGGCCAGACAAGTCATGCATCCAGCGGATATAATGCAAACATGTCAACAACTGAGTGTCAACCTCATTATAATAAATATCGGTACTTAACATAGTTATTGTAAATACGTAGTAGTTACGAACAAAATAGGTATGATTAACAGACAACACCAAAAGACAGATAACGTGGGAAGAACCATAACATACTTGATGAGATGAGCAGTTAGAAGGAGCAGGACTTTCTGAAAAGCTCCTAACATTTGATTTTATTGATTTGGGTTGGAATTCAGTGATAATAACGCTATAGCCATTTGCGAAGATTTCGAAAAGTAATGGTGAGGATCGATCAAAGTGTTTCGACCGAAAGTTACTACACAAACCATAGAAGGCAACTTATCAAATACCTGGATACAGACTGCTTGCATTTAGATTCTCTTTTCTTTTTTTGTTCATCATCCTTTTCCTTTAGTATAGTTTGAGCAATTAACTGTTGCTGTTCTACTACCTGAGTATTCAATCTTGGTTTCCTGAATCGTCTTTTGTATCAAAACATAAACCATACCTTGTAGAAGTTCCTTTCCTGGTGTGGCATATTTCACACTTATAAGATTCTTTGGGATTTATGTAGGTACATACACTACAATCCCATTTATCATCCTCGTCACTACGCAGTCTCCTATGAAGTCTAACAAATGCAAACAAAGTAATCAATATTGAATACAGAATTCCCTTACCGATGAAACTCGCTTGTTTTTGCCTCCATCACACATAGAGTCGGATTGAGTACCACCAGGAATCGTCCTCAAGTTACCCGCACCAGGAGAAAACCTTGAGGTGAAGGTTGATAAATATAGATTGAAAAACTACAGACTATGAAGACGATAAATAACTGTTATATTCATCTTTTACTTGATGACGGACAATGAATGAATATTCAGGTGACCTGATTATTTAGCATGTATTCAGTAATAAGGATAGTGGATTGGTGTACCTGTGTTAATCCTGACAGATTGCCTTTCAGTGAAGGTCCAGTTTCTTTTTGAAAATATTCATTGGTGGGGCCGATACCACTTGTTCGGGTAAGGCGTTCCAATCATTGACTACTCGATGAGAAAAACGGAACCCCATTTTAAGTTTATTAGATCGCGGTTTATGAACCTTCTTGCCATGACCTCGGAGATTATTAGTGCTGGAGGGGGGAAAAAGATAAGACATAATAATTAAAGATACGAAATGCCAGTATAAGGTCACCTCGTTTCCTACGATACGACAAGGGGAAAAGATTTAGGCGTTTTAAACGCTCATCGTAAAGGAGTCTAGGAAGACCCTTCACTAATTTCGTTTCCACACGCTGGACACGCTCAAGTAAATTAGTATTCTTTACCAGACGTGGGCTAGCTGCTTGGATACAGTACTCTAAATGTGGTCTTACATAGGTAGGATATAAAATTCGAAACATTTCCTCGTCAAAAGATTTGAACACTCGGCGACGTGACCATAACGCACGAAAAGCTTCGACAGCGGCTTCGTTTCAATGCGTGGTTGACATCTCAGTGTGAGTTGGACAGGGTATTTGTTACAATAAACGTAGAGTATATTCCACTAAAATAGTTTGAAAAAGTCTCAGCCTTTGCCCGATCTGATTCGGCTAGTAATTCTGAATTTTCGTGTAACAGTAACGGGGGAATACCATCACTACGTTTAACATACGAAAACAATCGTTTCGGACAAGTACGGCTATCATATACAAACTGTCGTTTGTAAGTAGTACGGGATTCAGCTATGGTTTTCTTACAAGTATCCTGGAATTTTCGGTACTCACGCTTAAATGATGCATGAGCTGTCAACAAGAATAATTCCTAGAAGTGTTTCCTACGCTTTAACAGCTTACGGGTTTCCTTATCACTCCATAAAGGGCAGTGTGATAGCTTACGTGTTGACCATGGGATAAACAGTGATGTTACGGACTCGAGTGTAGCCTTCATTCATTCAGTCAGTCAGTAGCCTTAAACTTACTCCATTCGTCTTCGATCAATCAGTCCGCATCGAACGATCGAGATAGCACAGTCTCTGATTGCAGGAATATTAGCTCGCCAGATATTGGGACGGGATGAATCAGATACAAATTTTATACCACGTGTCCGAAACTCAAAGTACAACGTGATCACTGTTTTGTAGTGGGGCAAGGTGCCAAATGCCGATGAAATCCTCACAGTGGTGTGTGAGGACAAGGTCGAGCAGCGACGGGTCATGTTCCAAGTCAATATGTGTGGGTTTTGTGATACATTGTACAAGTGCACGCCGAACAACGGTTGATTAAAGGTCGCTATCAAAACTTCCACCTGGAGCTGTAAGCTCTATCCAGTTGATATGCGACATTAAGTAGAATCAGGTCAAATTCAACTTCAGCTAATAGAATTAGTGTATGGTTTCAAATGGTTCTGAACGGAATAGAAGAAGCTTTTCGCTTAGTGTACTTCCGTATATATTAATAGCGGATCAATAATGCTTCACGATAGGAACATAGGTATATTGACGACAAAGGAGAAATAATTAGTAAATTATAGCGAGATACTGTCTTCAGTCCTTAAGAATACGTCACGCTTTCGCACAAATGACCACCCAAAAGTTGCTTGATCTAGCACAGCAATCAGAGAACTATAGCACTTGACTACTCTTAGTGAATAGAAGGTGTGTCAACAGTCCGTTCTGATATGTCTCCAGATTCTTGGTGTTCCCCCTGAGGTTTTTGTTAGAACTATTATTAAGTACGCGTTTAGGGGAATAGTAAGGATGACGTATGTTATTAAAAGGTCACCTCAAAGACGCCAGCACTCCAATATGTTACGGTCCATTGATTGGAGGCGCTCTTCATAAAACTTGAATTTGAGTCCTCGAACTGATTTCGCGGCTCGCCGTTGGATACATTCCTGAGTATCCTTATCATTTTGGAGTGAGGGGAAACACTATGTTTCTGCACTCTAAATGGGGACGAACAAAACTGTTGGAAATTATTTGAAAATTTCCTTCGTCAAACTGGCCCAAAATGCGCTTCAATGTTACCAGTGCAAGGTTTACGCGTAAAGCATTTGCGTCGCAGATAGCGTAAGACTTTAGATCGTGGGATACCAACACTCCCAGATATTTTTAACTTGGGATACCTCTAAGGAAGAGTTAGCTAAGTTGTAGTTTTAGTCTGCAACATGTCTCAGACGGACTACATTAGGCTTTGAAGTGTTAATGGTAAGTCCGTTGTCCTCCGTCCAACTTTGAAGTCAGGTTAGATCCTCTCTGATTAGCACTTTATCCGCTCGACTGAAGTCTTCTCTTTAGAGTTTCACATCAGCAAAAAATAATAAGTCAGACGGTACCTGTTGCGGAAGACCGTTTATATAAATCAAGAAAATAACAGGTCCTAGTACCGGACCCTGAATAACCCCACTAGGACATTCCATAGCTCGAGAGAAAGTGAAGTTAACCCTGACCTTAGAATGTCGATTTTTTAGATATGAAGTGGGTGAATCAATTAATATTGCTTGATACCTAATCGTCCGAGCCTGTTGATAAGACATATATGATTGACCCTACCAAAAGATTTTGAGAAGTCAAGTATGACTTCAACCTTCCCCTCGCAATCAGGGATAATTTATAGAATTGTGGTCTACTTCTTTAATGGTAATGCTCTAATAATAGCACATTAACAACTGAAGAACACCTGGAACTCAAAACAACTATCAAACAACACTAAAGTTAGGATTTTCAATACAAATGTCGAGACATTTCTACTGTATGGCGCGGAAACCTGGAGAACTGAAAAAGCCATCATTCAGAAGATACAAGTGTTTATTAACAGCTGTCTACGCAAAATACTTCGAATCCGTTGGCCAGACACTATCAGCAACAAACTACTATGGGAGAGGACAAACCAGATTCCAGTGGAGGAAGAAATCAGGAAGCGCTGGAAGTGGATAGGACAAACATTGAGGAAAGCAACCAACTGCGTCACAACGCAAGCCCTCACTTGGAATCGTCAAGGCCAAAGGAGGAGAAGATCAAAGAACACATTATGCTGAGAAACGGAGACAAACATGAAAAGAATGAACAACAATCGGATAGAACTAGAAAGGAAGGCCCAGAACAGAGTGGGTTGGAGAATGCTTGTCGGTGGCCTATGCTCCATTGGGAGTAACAGGAGTAAGTAAGTAAGCAATAATAGACCCCATCCTAAAATTGTAGATTTGTCATGATGTGACTACCTAATCTTTAAGATCTTATTTCGAAGTCACATCATTTTCTACACTGATTCGTCCCATCGTAATAATCGCCGATATATGATGCAGAACACATTTAGGCTGGAGATGGGACAACATATTTAATATTAACAGAAGAGACAAGTTACAAAAGAATGACTACGACTACAGTGCTGAGCGATGGCATTCGGTTAATTGAATTAATGTTCCCGCGTTCTGCTTAGTTAAGCTTCTCTTCATGTCAGTTGTTGAATATCACTCTTTTCAGTGACTATTTGATCGGCTTCAGAGGTCGTGTTGTCAGATTCCTATGCCATAACAGGTTATCCATCTGTCCGCCGCGGTCAACAGGTTGACTATGCAAGAGCGAACTCCATTGAAAATTGGTGTGACGTGAGTCAGCTTCCAATTTTTGGTAATATGTCTCGGCTTAACAAATGACAGAACATCACGCTAAAAGGCAAAGTTGAATCTGCTTCCCTCAGTGCAGCAGAACGGGCCATATCAGGACCAAGATGCGCGTCCTTGTTTTTGTATTGAAGTCTCCGATACATCAAGTCAGTGCTTAGTTTCACTTCTGAGAGTCCTGTTGACTTGCGTTTGAATCTCTCATCAATATAGCTAGTATGAGTCGGTTGAAAAATTTAAGAGCGCTGTTGTGCCAGAGGTTTGGGGACGTCACAATTGGTTGCGCCATTGGGACCTCGCATTAGGGAAACTCCGATTCCACCTTGTCGAAGAGAGGCTGCATGACGGAATAAGCTTATCGCATTAGAGACAAATTTATCTATAAGCTTTATCTAGTACCGAAGCCTATATTTTCTTATTGTCTTTGTGCATATGTTCCTTAATTGTTTGAAGTTTCTGTATACACTGTTGTTACCGGTTCGTTTGTATTCCTCCAAGTGTTGCGTTTTGCGGCTTAGCATTCGAGGGCTGCGATTTCTCAACAATATAGGTTAGTTGTAGATTTTTGGGACCATTTGCAGAACAGACTTATTTGTGACAGATAAGATAATGTGCGGTAAGAAACCCCAATGAGTGTCCTCGTCAGGTTGAGGGTCAGCTGTACAATCCACCTTGTATAGATTGTCCTTTTAGGTTGACATATCCAACCTTCTTTAATTCCAACGCCTGTTGTGTGTAAGATGTTTTAGCTCAGTCCGTCAGATAAAATTGAGGGCTTTGACGGCACGATCGCTTTGACTCAGGTGCGCCAATGGTGAGAGGTTGTCAACTAGGAAGTCTTCCTTAGCAAACACTCAGTCTAGGCGTGATGTTGTCTGACATTTTTTTCTAACGAGTTGCTGACTTTTCATTTTCGAATAAATAAAGGTTTTCAGTTAAGATGAAGAACCGAGATTCATCTCAAATGTATGTATGTTCAGAGAAATAAACTTTATGAAGACTGACGTCTCCTAGAATCAGGATATGAGTGTATCTGAGACGATTGAAGCGGAGTGATCTTTTCAGGATACAATTGTCAAACTTGTTGTTCGCAGTAAGCTTCTTTTAGATGACTCCAAATAGACGTCTCGGGGTGTTAGACAGTCTTGTTGATCACCATACAGACTCATCAAGGTTCACAAACCTTTGAGTGTACACTCGATTTGCTACTTGGCAAAATCGCAGGCACAAGGCTGGAATTAGTAATGATCCCTCCACTAAACAGCCCATAAGCATCTAGGTTTCATACGGTCACTAAATTGGTAGCAATGATTATTGTGGAAAAAATGGTTATCCTTAACTTAAAAAGAAAATTGCCCCTGATCACTACCTTTCACCAGACAATGGCGGAGATATTTCCTAATCCTACGACCTTGACATCACGACCTGACAGCTGACTAGTTCGGTATGACAGTTTGTTAGAAAATCGGTTTGTTTTAAGCAAAGAAACGGAACCTCATGGTTGTGGTTGATTTCTCTAAGAATGGTATCATCACACTTTTCAGACTCTAAGAATTTTGACGTATGCTTTCCTGCTTAAGAAATTTTAACCGAATTTTCCAATAGTTTACTGACGATGTATTCAGAGGTCTTGACTTTTTGCGTGCATGATCATCTGATCACAAGCCAAAAAAGGAACTCATTCCTAACACACGGGCCTTGATATTCAACGACTTCATAGGCTGAGCAGCCATGAACGTTGAGACACTACAAATCGTAGACGAACCACTCAATTTTCTCGGTCATGCGATTGATAATCGTGGTACTCGCGCTCCACCGAGTAAAGTGGATGCTTCTCTGGATTAAACAGACAACACCACGACCAGGCAACTACATACATCCAACAGACTGGTAAGCTTTTGTCGACGGTTCTTATCAAACTTCATATTATTAATGATATCACTAAAAAATTGACTTCGTGAACATACAAAAACCATCAAACTGTATGACGATGTTAAGGAAGCATCTTCTACAGTGAAAGACATTATTCTCATTTCCTCTGAGCTTGCATACCGAGACACTAAAGCATTGACTATTATCGCCATTGACGCATCCAAGTTGACAATCGAAGTCTTACGAAATTAGATAAAAGAAACGTCGCAACCCTTTGCATTGCTCTCGTAACAGTCATTAGACTCTGCGTTGAGACATGGTACTTATGACTAGAAGCTTAATGTCATATTCTATGCTGTACAGCACATTCAGAACTCCATGTTAGGCCAAGCAATTACTCTGTTCATAAGTCATATATCGCTTACTTGTCTTCAGACAGATACTCTTCTTTAGAGACCCGACTACTGAACTACATCTCACGGTTTACTTCCGATATCAAACATACTTCTGAAGCAAACAAAATAGTCGTATTCGCCTAGTTTTACAAGTTCCTTGAGCAGTTTCTAAGAGACCGATCTGCCCAACCTCTGAAAGAAAACGCCGATCCTTAGCACAAGTTATCATCGATAAAGCAGAAACCACGAATGAAACCGATGTGGAAAGCTAACGGGACCGTGTTTTGCCGTATGTTTAATGTCATAATCGACACAACCAGTCAGAAAAAATATCAAAGCTGGTTCTTCAACACATCATGCACCCAAGCATCCGAGAAACCATCAAGCTCATAGCGGAACAATTTAATTAGTCCTAGATAAATAGTGAAATGAGTGAGTCACATCTTATGGTCACCGGTGCTTCACATAGGAGGGAGAGAGCTGTGGCGATGAATAGATCCTAAGATTAATAGTCTTCAAGATTAGTACTGATGTAATGAGTTCTACTTAACGAACCTAAAGCTGAAAGATCTAAACAAAGCACCACATCAAATTAGGATTAGATACACCGTACTACACATTCCTCGCAACAAATTGTTCGCTTACATCACATAATTCTTGTGACATTGTTTCCCAAATATATGGGTTTTAGCGTAAGAAATACGCTGAAAGTCGCTTCAAAGTGCATTCTGGACAGTGTTGATATTTATTTCTTCTTCTACACTGTCTTGTATTTCGGTTGTTACTCATATCTCATGAGACCATGTTTTATGTCATTCAGTCTTCTTCTTCTGTACCTTTATTGAATGATATGCATAAATTTTCGGCTTTGCCTGTTGCCGGGCGATGAGCGATAATGTCGTGTTTGACTGAACTCAATGTTGCGGCGTGGGTCCTCTGCTGAGTGTTTACAGTTAACTGTCTGATGGAAATGGTTACTTGAAAGTTTACAGATAAACATTTGATCCCATCTTGTGATATGCTTGTAGCTAAATGAGAGGCTTTCGACTAACGGTGAAATCGTCCTACCAAACGGTTAATCTACAGGTTGTAGGCTTTCAGCTGGTGGCTTGTCCAGTAAAAAGAGTGAGGTCTACAGCAATGCCGGAGACTTGCAAATCTATTCGTTTCAAGGTTTTGTTTGTCAATACGGCACTCACTATGGACGTTGTCCGAAAAGTCGCATTTATAAAGTTATTAAACTATTTATTTTTGAAGTGGAGTAAATTAGGAATGATGGTTAGGGAAGGTATTGTCGACTCCGTCCCGTAGAGGATGATCTGGCTAAAACGACATTAACCAGAAATAGGCGTTTTAACTTTTGAACTTTCCTCTAGTAGTCGAACTGTCTTCATTTAAAAGATTTACGATGCAACGCTTTGAGCTCGAGATTCCTCGAGAATTATGTGGCCGATGCCAATTCGGACGGCAAGATTGACAATAAATTTAGGTAAATAGAATGTTCGCATAATATGGGGGAAAGGTAGGACTAAGCAAGTAGCTTGAGTTATGAAAATATGCAATCTGGTTGCTCACGAGAAAATTAAAACCGATGGAAAGCAAGCTGGAGAGAAAGCATTAGTTTAGGAAATACTGCTGTCGTGTTCTGTTCATGAGGAACAAAACACCTCAAAAACACAAGCTGTTTTACTGATGCTGTCAAAAGAGGCATGTAAAGCACTTATATAATGGAAATCGTCACTATATTTCAACTTTCTTGAAGGCATTTGACAACATGGATAACAGAAACTCATAGAACCTTCTTCGACACTACGGTGTGGCTGAGAAGATCGTCGATATCATACGCAATTGATGCAACAGACTACATTGGAAATTCCTGTGTGGAGGGCACCTGACAGATGCATTACAAGTGAGGACTGGTATCAAACAAGGTCGTTCGATCCCTACTCTTATCTCCTGGGGGCTGACCGGGTTATGAAGAGTTTCGCATTTGAGGGAAATCATGGAACAAAACGAACAGTTTGGATGCAACCAGACCTCAACATATACAAGGAGAAAAGCACGATCCTCAAATACAACACGGAGAACATCACTTTAGGTGCACTTGATGGAGAAGCTCTGGAAGATGTGGGATCTTCCACGTACCTGAGAAGCATCATCGATGAGGAAGTAGGATCTGATGTTGATGTGAAGGCAAGGATTGGCAAAAGAAGGGCAGTATTCTTACAGTTGAAAAACATATTAAACTCCAAATAACACTTAAGTTGGAATTTTCAATTTGAACATTGAGACATTCTTATTGTACGGATCTGAAAGGCGGAGAACTTTTGCAACCATTATCAAAAGTTTAAAAACATTTACTAACAGTTTTCTATGCCATATACTCAGCGTCAATATGCCGGATATTATCGGCGACAATCCGCTGCCGTAGAAACCAAACCACCTTGCAGCTGGAGAGGAAATTAAGAGACTGGAGGTGAATATGACATACCGTGGAAATCATCGGGTTGAACCATAAGACAAGCCTCAACTTAAGTCACAGAAACAAGGCAAAAGAGGCAGACCCAAAACACGTTGCATCAGGAATTAGAGACAGGCACTGTGAGAATGAATAGCAACTGGCGGCAATCAGAAAGGAATGCCAAAGACCGAGTTTGATTGAGACAACTGGTCTGTCGCCTGTGGTACAAGAAGTATAACAAACGAAAGTAGGAGATAAAACTACAATCTTTCCTTCATCTAATATTGATCTTCTACTACGACTAAAATATTAATCTAAACGAACAAATATGTCCTTAATCTGACGTCCTTTTTACTTGGTTAGCAATCATTCAAATTCAGCACTAGAACGCCTTATGTTAATCAATCATGATAATAGCTTCAAAGAGATATTGAATTTATTCAGTATTCCCAGTTGTAAGGTGTAATACAATCTGCATGGACTACATACTGAAAAATGAAGGCCATTCCTCCAAATAACCTTTAAGGCGCTGGAACCAAAATGTGTATTTTAGGTGATGGGTTAATGTGTGGGCTATGGGAACCAGTTTAATCTTCGAGATAAGATGGATCAAGATATATCATATTCAACCACCGTTGAACTTTCGATAGCCTGCAGGTGGGTAGGAAATCATGGGAACTTACGGAAATTTTAGAAATTTGTGCGACACTGGTGTTTTGTCGAAATCCGACCCACGTGTGTTTTTTTCACTCAGATTTAATATTTTTTTTAGTTGTTGTTGTGTTTGAAAAGTCATTCCCTGATAATCAATGGGTTGAACTAGATAGGACGGAAACCATACATAACCATTTAAATCCTGATTTCGCTAAGAAGATTGTCATGGAATATCATTTTGAGGAGCAACAACGTTTAAATTTTGTTGTGTTAGTTACTGGGTCACTGTTTTATTAAGATTTTAGGTATGATGTCGATTGGAAGTCAGATAAGTTAGAAAAACATGTAAGCACTTTCACATTCGTTTACTATTATAGGATTTTCTTGGCAATTGTGAGACAACTCTTGGTGAAATTGCGTCTTCTGGAAAGATAAGTAAACTCTTAAAGTAAGCTTCAGTTTTGTCTCCGTCATCTGTTAAGAAATGGTCCTTCGAGTGATTGTGGGTCAATTATTAGTAAGTAGCCCTTTAATTCTGATCAAAGTCATTTTTAGTTTCTGCAGAGGAAGTTTCTTCTTGTAAAGTAAGCTACTCTTTTCATCTTACTGGCTTTTGGAGGATGAATTGACACTTGACATTTCTGGGAGGATGCTAGATAAAAAAGACATATTTGGATCATCTGATCCTTTCCTCGCATTTTACAGGGTAAATGAAGACAGAAGGTAAGTGATAAATAAAGAACATGACAAACTTAACTCACTAGTTTCATCGAGCGAATCATCCGAATATGCCTTTTTTAATGAACTACTGAATTCTAAATGGGTTCATTTATTCAGTGGTAACATTTATGTAATACCGAAGTCTGGGCTTGTGTTTGTAAACGTTTAAGGCTATTTGTTAGAGGGAGTCATTATTTTGAGACGGGTTCTAGTAACTCCGAAACGTCTTGGGAGTTTCAGGTGCTCCATTGCAGAGCACTATTTACTACCACTCGTACTTTTGGTGATTTTTATTATCAACCATTTTATGATATAACACTGGGTTGAATAGTGGTTTTCTTAACTTTCAGTTTGTTCAGTGATCACTTTATCGGTAGTCTTAGAAGGTACATAACCATAACTTGAAACGTCCTCAGACAGTTTGGGCGTGAACTAAGTATTGGTCCAGCTGTAGTTTTGTTAAGAGTTCTATGCGCAATAGACTTGTCTTTTTTTCAAAATGGCTGCATTACTAATGAGCATTCATATTTAAACATCTTTTATTTACCATTCTTGCATTTATTGTCATGAATCACCTTTTTGAATTGACTCGCAACTACGTGCTCAGCATTTAGGGGTAGACCAATGATGCGTCCTGACTACTTCACTTGTTGCAGTTGTCCGTCATAGAATGTTTTGTCCTTTCACACTTTAATTTGAAAGTTCATAGTCATCTAAGCTGCTGATTTCACCGTCTTGTTACCTGAGTTGGTTTCACATTTTACTTCGGTTTTTTTAGAGGGCTTGTCATGGTGCATCTCAGTTTGATCTCATAATTTTATGTATCAGGTTGTGTTCCTGGGTTTTTATGTCTGTTTTGTTGGAGATCACTGATCCTCAAATGTTGGTAATTCGTAGTAATTTAAGGCGGATAAGTGACTGTAGATATCATTATTTATCGTATTTGCTGCATTGTACCGTCTACATGCTTATGCTATGTGATGGGAATCTAATTATTTTTTTATTGGTTCTTGACTAATCGTATTGCGTTTAAAATGATTTTTTTACTACCAAAAAGTCGAACAGTCGTTTATAGAACAAAAGTGATAAGAAACACATTGAATCCAAACTGGGAGCAAATGATTATACCATTAAGGCTTTTATGTAATGGAGATCATTACAGGTACGTTTTTTCTATTTGTTTTGTATTTGTTTACACTACAAATAATAGCTTTATGTCTCTTTCCATCTGATTCTGCAAACTTATGAAGATTATGTCTTTCTGTACCCTTTTCACTGGTACAGTTTAACATTTTGAACTGCCATAGTTTGAATGGTAGATGTAAATCTAGCATTGGTCGCTGCTGAGCAAAATCTAGAAGTGATACACATTTCCAACCATCAATTACCCTGAAACGTAGTGCTGACCGGTATAGAAATGTGTTGGGAGAGAATCCACAGATTCCTAGTCCAAACCATGTTGGCAGGTGCGAATCACTCAGTTGGAGAGTAATCAATACTCGTACTCAGTAATCAAAAACATCGAGTGTAAGACTATGTTAGAAATGTCGCAGTATAAAATTCTAACTATGGCTTCGATAAAGCAGCGCACATAAATGAATGCACGTACACCCAGCTGACGAGTCCCAAGTTAGACGAAACGTGCGTCCTAGATTCCACTGCTAGCCATCATCCATCTTTGTTTATCAATGAAAAAGGTTTAAATGAACTAATTGTGGGATTCTTTAGTTGTGTAGCTTTCATACAATGCCCTGGTCAGACCAAGGGTGAAGAGAGTCAGCTACCCCTCTCGAAATGCTCTCACATGACCACACGTATACAACCACTGCCAGATGAGTCCTACTCACTACCCTAACGCTGCGGGGTGTTGTTTACGAAATCTGTAGGACGAAAACCGAATGTCCGACACTTTTACTGGGTCGGTAGACACGGAGGATCCACCTAGAGGAGTTGGGAGACCCTGATTCCAAACCGCTGGTACACATGGACTGCATTTCATGTCCATGAATACATATAAAGAGAGATCCGTTACCGAATGCAATTAGAAATGGAACTTTTCGAAGACAATTTTAAAATTTATGTACACATATTTACCCAATACTTGGATTTGAGCCACACCTAGTATGAGGGCTACTAATCGATCCACCTAAGCACCACTTTAGTTGTGACTAGATATAATTCCATTGATGAGGCAGACAGTTTGTTTCATAAAATGAATCCATCCGGAAAGATAAACCTGCAACAGTCCTTCAACGAAGTTATGCAATTTTAATCTACTCTTTAATTTTTGCTTTGTCAGTTGTCTTGTATAATGATACAGTCAAATGTTTAAAATAAGGCTATTTGTATACAACATGATATAAATGTTAGGTAGTGGAATTCTGTTTGTAAGCAATCCTATGGTAACACTGAAGAATGACGAACTAACCAATATTTGTAAACACTTTAGATGGTATGCTTAATTATACACCTGTTCTTGTAAGTTTGGTTTCTTCGTTATCTCGGCTGGAGAACTCATTTCTTAGACTATCACCGCCATCCTTATTCTCGTTTCACCCAACAAATACAATAGATCATATATACAACGTAATGTAACTATCGGAAAAGCTTGCCCTCTTATTCTAATATTGAACTGTTTCAGAAATACTCATCTATTATGTGTTCAAATGTTATATAAACATTCAAATGAATCAAGACTACTTCAAATTGTACATAATTTTGCTTTCGACTTATGCAAATAATGCTTTGATTTATCTTCTTCTGATCAACGTTTACTTTGCGTTTACTTATTGTTTTTGTCACTTTTTAGACCCCTGGTCATTGCTTGCATTGACTGGAACAGGAGTGGAAGGTAAGTGAACCTATTTACTAACCATATATTAAGCTTCATGTAAATAACACTTTGATAGGACTAGGAATTATGTGTGGTCACGCGTAATGAGCATAGCGTAGCTATAAGATATAGATGTTTTGCTTATCATAGTTTCCACCCTCGATATGTTAAAAAATGTTTTTATATGCCTTGTATACTCAGTACATTAATATAATAATTTATGGCTCTTATTGCTATTTTATTCGTCTAGTCTTGGTTTATTTTACGAGTCTAATTTAATGAAAATAATATTAATTCATTTTAGAGAAAGTTTGATTGGCGAAATCACTACATCTGCTAATGAATTGTTAACTATGTTTAATAATGGGATATATTCACTTGATGTAAGTAATAATCTAGTTGACGGAAATATATTTTTATCAATTTACATTTGCTACTATGAGATGGATGATAGCAGGAATTTTTATGTTTTGTTTTTAGAGTTTGAATTTTCGTTACAATCTGGGTAATCAGACAACAGGAAGGTATTTATTTGTTCTTACTAGTTCTCAAGATGCTAATCTCAAATAAATTAGATCTAAATTTTCTTCGAATGTTGAAAATTAAGTGACTAGCGAAATCCTATAAATCTTTTTTAAATCTTGAAGTTGGCAATTTTCACTTGACAGTTATGTTTTTACCAGCCGAAGAGTACATTTCAACTAAGTGATGGACTCGAACAATCCCGGAAATCTCATATCAGTTTGATTCTCGTGGCTCTAACACAAGTTAGTTGCGATAAAAAACACCAGAAACAAGACTGGAAAATAAAATAGAGGATGGATAACACCGTCATCTAAATGACTAGGATCTATGAGACTAAACACCGAAATTACAGTTTCCTAGTTATTTCATTTGGAACAACCCTTACGGGGGGAGAAGTGGAATCTTGGATGCAGGTCCTAATAACCAGATTTGCCAACTTCATGGACAGAATTACCTGTTGTCGAATCGACATGAAGTTGCGAAACTTTATGACGCCAGTTTTAAGCGATGCATGAGGCTTCAGATATCAAATTCAATCCCAACTTGCAAAAGTCAGCCATTCTTTTAAATAGACAACCGATCCAGTTTCGGGATCAGATGTTTATTCCTCCCTCACCTTTTTTGAGACACCCACCATATGAAGACAGTGAGCGAGGGATACGTTTTGAAGGCTTTATTCATTCTTTATTCGGCATATGAGTTTAGTTTAAACTGCAGCTTACAAAATATCCAAAGCCGCTTTGCTGTCACTACACGAAAGAATTGTGATTATAAGATCTCCTGCATGGTTAGCATTCCACTAAGTCACTACATTTCTTAAACTTAGATCCCTTTACTATTTTCGAAACAGGAAAAACGGAAAAAATCTACAGTCATACTTTGTACTTTAGTACATAACCGATGTATTCTACGAGATATGTTGTTAAGTCTTCAGGCCATAACTGCTGAAATTTTAGTTACATGTAAGCAGTACCTGTTGAAGCACTAAGTGGTCGGGTTTGGTTTTAGTTACATAGTCGTTGAATTCGGTTTTATCGTTTAAATCAAGGAATAATATTTATATCTACCTAAGTCGGTATATTATATTTAAGGATATTCTGTTATGTAAAGTTGAATAAGAATAAAACAAATCGAGGCTTTTTGTTATGACCTAAATGAATAATATTAATAACTGTAGGTCTTTTAAACAAATCATCAACGCTTACTGTATATATGGTAATCTGAACTCTAGATATGTCTCTCCTTTATTTGAGACAAGACTGAGTATTCATTTTCTAATCTTAAACGCTGGTTCATCCAAAACATGTCATTTTTACCCAGATGCTCACTAGGACTGTTGGTTAGTAAAATTAAGGTAGATTTACGCTTCTAGGAAGCAGTAGTAATCTCTATTGGATTCTTCAACCTGGCCTTGTCCACTTTTGTTATTCTTAGTTCAAACCGTGCAAATCTTCCATTTAGTTACTGTATTTCTAAGCAGTCACCCATCCTCAAAAAATATATATAATAAGCCATTTGGTACCTCAGTTTTACTAAATTACTTAGCATTGTTGAGAGAAGAAATTCTAAGGCTTGTAAACTTCTTCGAATAAGGATGTGAGTTATGTAGAAATTATTTGTATGTTGGTAGAGAGTTCATACATTTCGAAATAATTCCCGATTGTTTTAGTTACACATTAAAGGTTAATTATTCTTAATTCCTGAGCAAATTAATGAGTCAGGTCTCATACATCTAATTCCAGTTAAAAGCCTTTATTTTTTGTTATAGAATAAGCACAACTAAATCATATTGTTGAAACATGGATTTGTTTCAAATATACATTTGTTGGTTTATTTCTTTCCTACCATTAATAATTTCAAATCGTAATTAGCTATTTACTAGGCTGTGAAATTACGTTAATTACCTCTTTCAATATTTAAAGGCAAGTTATAGTAAGAAGAAAAGGCCCACATACAGATACTGTATTAAGCCATATCGAAGCATCTACTAATTAAATATAAAGAGATAAATGATCCATCTATTCTTCCAAATTAAAAAGTCAAATAATGATAAATTAAAATTTGATTAAAGTGCTTCAATAAAATTACAATCTCTTCTTTTGTATGTGTTTAGATGATAAGTTAGTAAATCGCTTGCGATCGTTGTATTTAGAAGTAGAATTATTCTCAATTGTTTTAATCATCTTGATCTGTTTTCTACCCATATTAAATATTTTTTATTTATTATTATACCATGGGGTTTTTTGTCAGTTAAACTCGTAACATATTCTTTTAAATTTACTTCATATTTTTTCATTAGCTTATTAATCCCCACAAAGCTAAAAGGCATAAACATTACCAGAATTCTGGAACTGTGAGTTTTGTATGCTTTTATTTGGTTAGTGTACAAAATCCTGAAATGTTATATTGTTAATTGTAGTTCTTGATAAACACTGTAAACCTAGTATTCTAATTGATGATCTGAACAACTGGTTTCTTATTCACTTGACCAAACACAGTAGATTACGCGTTTTCAAATATTCCAAACTTTTCAATCCTAACGAGGTGTCAAAAAATGAAGATTACAATCCAAGTATTTTTTCACAGGGTTCGATAATGTTGAACTAGTGGCTAATTTATTAGAACATTTTACTCACGATCGAGTTCTGATCTATATTCGATATTGGTACCCGATTAATATCACTAGCCTTCATTTATAAATGTGTGACTCACAGTTAAATGGAGTTGTTTGCGCTTTGTTATCGAGTAAAAGTAAGTTACTAACTGTCACTATCACTAAAAACTCATTTTAATAGCAGGGAAAAGTATCGGTGACATATTTCACACCTATGCTTCGGTTTGGGCACCCGGGCAGTATCACAGCCCTCACACATATCGAATGAGATTTGTGTGGCGCATATGTATTTGGCGCCTCATTGTACCAATGTCTGTGTTAAAAATAAATAAATAAATAAATAAATACGCTTGTGTCAACCAAGTTAAATTTACTAGTTTTTGTGAGCCCATCAAAGTTATTAGTAATTATCATCCTAGATAGTTGATTTTTATTTTCCTGACGTATTGCTAAAAAATTTCAATATGACAAATGCTACTACTGTTAATTTTAAAAATATAAGAACGTTGCAGAATAGCTGTCTGTTTACTGACATTATTAAGAGATTTTAGCCCTCACCATCTTCAAGACTAACCGTTTTTCTGTACAATCCAAATGATGTTAAAATTTTTCCATAGAGCCGTAAAAGAAGGCCGATATTTTACCCGAAATCTATGGGTTAGCAATCTCTTTTATGTAAACGTTCTATTAAAGATTTTTGAGTCATTTTGAATTTATATATAGGTTTCATTCCACTTAGAAATATTCAAACTAATCCACAATCTTGATCAAAACTGTGCTTAAAACTTTAGTAACTTTGGTTTGATTCTTTACCTGTCTCTAGATTATTAAACTCTTGTCCTCAGTATATTGTTTGAAAATAAGCAACACCTTTTAATGAGAAAAAACATAGTCTACAAAGTACCACTAGTTTAATTCGTTGAACGATCAGAGTGCACTTACATACGATAAAAACAATGTCTTATCGATCAGTGTGTTAAACACAGACGTGAACTAATCGTGGTTAGAAACAGCAGTGTAGTAGGCGAATTCTGATGTTATTAAGTAACCTATATTATCTGATACCTAAACTTAGCCATGGAGAGTCAGTTTAGCGTAATAAAACGTTATCTCTATTGTTCATGCTACTGAAAGTTAATCATTTGGTAGTGATATTTACTTCAATAAATTTTACGGAAGTAGAAACATAACAAAAATGAGCCATAGAAATTTTCTGCTGATCAGCTTTTGACAAAACGTCCTAAAGAAAATCAACACTTGGCATTTTTACATCACTCGTAAAGTGGAGAGCTGCAACCATTGGTTAGAGTAGATGTAGAGATAAATGCGCTTGGAGACTGGTAAATGCACTGATATTTGTTCCGTTTCTTACGAGCAGATCAACAGTTCATATCAGACAGCTACAGTGTTACTAAACATTTTGAATTCAGTGAGTATTAAATGTATATCCGAGAAGTTATTATAATTTAATTGTTTTGAAATCATATATTAAGGCACCACATTTATAAATATTATAGCTGGTTTCTGTACCATTACAGCCGCGACTACATAGTAGATATTTATTGTCATGTTTGATTACTATTTTGACTAAAGTTACCATTTGTTAATATAACTTTTTCTACTTTACTGATACTAGAAGACAATGGAAGCGTTCATTTTGATTGGAATTGTCTCCACTAATTTCAGTTTACATCAGTAGTGTATTTATTTTTATCTTATGAACGTAGGATATATTTAAATGCAACATCATTAAAATCCATGAATTCTATTCAGTAATTACTCTTCTTTATATTCTATAATTTTGTTCTTCTGCATACTCTGAAATTATTTGAAACATTATACTACTCTTGTTTATATAATTCATGTCTAAAGAGTTCTCATTAGTGATTTGATTATCTTTACAACTTAATATTTATTTTTATTTCTCTATTGTTTTTCGACAGCTGCATTTGAATTTGGTCAGGATCGAAAAAGTATACAGCTTTCTGGAATATGTCCAAGGAGGGTATGGGTTATGAGTGTTCATTTCTTCCGAAATTAATTATTTTATAATGATAAATATTTATAAAAATCTCGACAAATAAACTTAAAATAGATTCAACGTTTCGCTCAGCAGTCTGTTCCGAACTTTTTCTAGGAAATATAATACAAAAATAAAATAAAATTTCTTCCTTAATGTCTGACACTAACTTGGCGCACGACTACTGTGAAACTCTGTTCAAATTTACACGAATGTTCTTATAATTAATTATTTCCGACTGTTAAATTCTGTATGTATTATCAAGTTTAGTTATTGGTCAGTGGTGAAGCTGGTTAGAATATCCGTCTTTTAATGCACCTTTATAATAAGATTTTTTCTGTCGTTTTAAAGAATAGAGGTCCGCTAACATCTTATATTCATTTAAACAATTGTTGTGTATTTTTCATACGTCTCAACAAAGATTTACATCAGTTATTTCTTCAATCGGGAAAATAACGTTTACAATTTCACAAAGGAACTATTCATCCCTCTTTTTTTTTTACCTTAGAAGGGTTTACTTCATTTAATGACCAGATTTTTTCTATCTTGCGAAAATTATTGTAGATGAAAATATACCAAGGTATGACAAAAGTATTGAAATACAACTGAAAAACTATATATATATATATATATATATATATATATATATATATATATATATATATATATATATATATATATATATATATATATATATATATATATATAGGGAGAGAGAGAGAGAGAAAAAGGGAGGGAGGAATATTTAAGCTTCTGAATGGAGAAAAAAATAAATGCTAAAATTATAGGGTCGTATTATCATGCCTACACAGTTCAAGGTTTATCCTAAAGGTCACAGAGTGTAATAAATTTATGGGTTTTGGATTTTATGGTAGTTATTACAATGAAATCAATAAGTTGTGGAAAACTGGTATGCAAAATTTGATTTGTAGGGTTCTAAAACCTATAAAATATTTCGCTAGTAAATAATTCATGTATATTTCTAGACTTAATTCTTCCGTGATCAAAGAACTGAATACTTGCTCCTTCTAATTTCAACTTGCCTAATTCTTAGCACTCTGACATTCTGTTATCTAATTTCTAGTTTACCATCAGCATTTAATTTAATTGCATAACTTTGTAACTATTTATATTGCATTCTGTGTTAATTTATCAATTAAATTGATCAAAAGCTGTTACGGGGATTAATATACCGAATAAAGTTTTCAATTTTTTTAAAATTTAGTACTGAACTAAGCTGCTGTATTGCAATAGATTTTACAGCAAGTAATGGTAGTCCACAAGTTCCCGGTACATTACATTACAGCACAGTTACTCAACCATCACAGTACGCGGTTGCTTTACAAGCTGTAGGAGAAATAATCAGTGATTACGATAGGTAAGTAATGTATATTCGAAGTTGTAGCTGCCTGTAAGTGGAAACATTGGCCTCTTTGTTGACTTATCTGGCTCAAAGAACCTAACTACATAGAACTACAACTTGTCATCGTGTATGCGTTTTTAACTACTATCTTTTCCTTTAACTAAATTTTTTAGACCAATTTTCCCTTGACGTCTATTTGGTTGTTTCAGTTAGTTGCCATTTTTTGTTTATGTTCTTGACACGCTATGTGGATGACAACAATAAGCAGAGTTATAATTGTTGAAAACATTTCAAGTTTTGCATCGTTGTAACTAATTTAAATAGTGCTACCAAAGGAAAAGCTTGTTGTACATAGCTTTCCTATCATTACAGGTTTTTAGAAATTCTAATTATGATTTTTAAAACTGTTATCAAAACCCAAGGGTAACTTCATTTCATCAATGTTATCAGTGACATAAAGACCACCTACCAACTCGTTACCAGTAGATGTTCTGTAGATAGACATTCTGTTACAACTAGAAGTAAATAAAATATTGCAATTTCCCTTCCTAATATCTTTTTAACGAATTCAAAAGTCGTTTGTAGGTTCATACAATATCGTCATATGATCTGATAAGTATTAATGGTACTGATTTAATATATTAATTTGAAGTAATTTTCCCATTCAACTGTTAACAGAGATAATGTACCTTTTGTTCTACATTTCAGGAATCAAACCCTCACTTAGTTAATTTTCAGTGGACTATTAGTAAACACAACCAACTTCTACTAAATCACGTTAAAGATTTGGAACCCCTTACATAACCTAAACATTCAAGATTGGTATTCTGATCGCTTGAATTAAAATGTTTTCTTTATGATCGATTGTTGCTAGATAAAGTAAAAAAGTTATGAAAAAGATCTGTTGATAATTGATCTAAACTATGCAAATCACTGTAAGCCTTCTAAATGTAGTCTAAAAGATAATGGTTGTAGAAGAATTAACTGTCGATATACTCAATCGAACTGCTTTAGTCTCCTCTGTCTTTATGACTACTGTTCCTCTTTTTCTCACTGGCGGGTTGATAGAATACTATTACAGTTATTCTTGAGTTATCTTTCTCTATCATTTTGTGGCTCTTCCGTCTTTTGTAAAATATTTATCAGCTATTAATGCTACGAAAGTGATGAATTCGAATTTTTCTGAATAGCTTTCCTTACAAATTGATGCATCGTTTAAGCAAAGATTGATTGTCTAGTTGAAAAAAGGTACTTTTGCAAATTAGTGATAACAATAGATTTATTTAATTAGATGAGCGAACTATTAAATTAATTTATTTTATGACAATCTCTACTTTATTTTTTTCAGTGATAATCTATTTCCTTCATTTGGATTCGGTGCTTGTATTCCACCTGATAATAATGTGTCACATTGCTTTCCCCTGGTTAGTTGATTTTTTTTCCCTCGAAAGGATATTTATTTTATTTGATAATTATTTAGTAGTTTTTTTTGTTTATCCATTTTCACTATGACGGGATCACATATGTGTTGCAACACTGAAGGGATGTCCAGTGTGGACATTCATGTAGTTTGTGTTAACGACTTTATTGTCTAATTGTTATTTATTCCATATTGTCATCACCAATGTATTAAATTATAGGCATGGGAATATTTATCTGCTACCAGTTCCGGAGGTGTTTTCTACTGATTGCTTAAATTTCTGATATTTTTCGTCATTACGCATTCATACTTATGTGCATTTAGCTTATATAAAAGAAAACTTTGTGATTTTACAAGATTGCTTCTTTCACATATTCAAGGTAAAATCACGATTTTATAGTTTTTAATTTTAACACGTTACATTGGAAAATTTTCTCTCATTCTATCCACTGGAATTATAAAAGTAATAGTAATATCATATATATGTACTTATTCACCGTAAAGTTAACTTTTTTCTTGTTTAATAGGAGAATAAATTATGTACATAATTTTCTTATATTTATTGTCTTAAATAAATAATCTATCGCTATGTGTTCTATTCACTTAAATTAGATTTTATTTGACCGTGCAAATTGATATTCACTTAATAACGAATTCATAGTATTTAATTCATTTCAGTGAACGGTTTAGTGTGAACATAGTGGGAATCTAATTTAACAGCTACTTATATATTATTATAAAATACATCTTTTATGTATTTATTGGGCAAATTGAATTTAAAGGTTTAGTTTGAAAAATGTTATCAGTAATAATTAAATTATTAGTAACAACAATCGTACCACTTCAGTAGAAACACCTAACAGAGTTTAAAATGATTCATAAATAAATGTTCAATTGAAGGATCTTCTTCAGTTATACCGTGGGTGTAAATTTTGGTGAATGGTTTAATGTACAGTGTAGGCTGATATAGAGATAGATTATAACAAAAACTAGGAGAATTGAAATCTAGAGATTGTGTTGATCGATAAAGCTATGGAATTTTAATTTAAACTAGGTCTGCAGGTACAGAATTTCTATCCTAAATCGATGGGAATTGACTACTGCCGAAATTTAATCAATTTGTCAGCATAGAATAATGTTATCCAAGTACCATGAGAATCAATCACCTTTATTTACTTGTATACCACTGTATTGAATGATTATAGAAACCGGTTATTTCGGACACTATCTGTTAGATATAGTTAAAAAAGAAAGGAATTAAAATATGACTTTGACTGTGTACTGATCAATATAAATTAACGTAAATTTTGAGTGATTTTAATTATGAACAGAGCAAGAACAGAAATTTGAGCAGAATAACGTAAGTTCATTTGATTTCGCTGGATTATCGTCAGCTGCTTACAACCTGTAGTACTTAAAAATCATAATTACAGAATGGTTCGAAATTACCTTGGTTAATGAATTTAGTTCGAAGTTGTTGCTCATAAAAACTTGGGTTGTATGTATGATTTTTAAATATTACAGGTTGTCAACAACTGATGTGAACTTGACGAATTAATGTGAATTCATATTATTCTGCTCTCCTCAATATGATAAAGAAAATCGCGTGCATAACTTTAATTAATCAAAATCTCAGTTGTTGACTCAAAGTTCCTAAGTTATATCAGTAAAGAAGTCATTTAACCAACAAATTAAATATACGTGTAGTTTAAAAAAGTTGATAATAAAACAAAAGAATATGAAGAAAAACTATTTAAGATGACTAATTAATCGTAAGATAGAGGTCTTTTCAAGTTATTAAGTAGCTGATAAATTTAAAACCTCATTAACAAGCTTGTTTTTGTTATGTATGTCAGGTGACAAGACGAACATATCACAAAGTCGTTCTTCATCAATTTGAAAATCAGTGTACATAACAGTTTTTCAACAAATCATATCACTAGAAATAGTATAATGTCTTGGAAATCTCATATAACTTAGACTAGTTAAGAAAGCTACTTAATTGTGGACAAGAAGGGAAAAAATCCTACTTTATGTACATAAAATTTAAAAACTGGGAAGAACTATTTTAATTACCACAATCGATTCCCATTAATTAAGCATCAAAATTTCGCAACGAATGATTTCTGAATATACGACTAATGAGTTGTATAAAATTTCGTCGATCACTTTATATTCTCTTAACTTAGGTCAAATAAATTCTCCATATTATATGACCTGACTCAGCTAACAATAAAAACTTAACACTTAGTTAACTTATCTAAATAGAGAAGGTACACAATGTGAGCTGAGATACTTGTTTCTGATTGATAATTCTCCCTACTTACTAACCTTGTTTATTCTTAAGTTCATAAGGTCTTCAAAGTTGTGTTAGCGTAGTCATTAATATTTACGTCTGTAAATCTATCCTGTATGCTTCATTGTATTGAATTTGCATATAGCATTGATCCGTTGCTTAGTTTTGGCTACTACTTTTTGAAGTATGTGGTATGGCACTTAGATTCATTTTTAGACCATTAATGCATTAACTGTCATTTTAGAGTACATATGTTTGCGTTTTCTGAATGAAGAGTAATAAGGTGTGCTTGTTCCTTTGTATTTCAATAAATAATTACATATACATAGTAAATAATAAATCTGCTAAAATTAACTGATAAAAATGTCTATAAATCCCTAATTCCTTTCAATGTTTTTTTTTAAAAAGTACAATCTAGTTTGGGTTATTATGTCCATTTTCCCTTACTGTAGTTTCCGTTCTGTTTTGCATTATTTATATATATAACATGCATTTAATTTCTGTGTACTTTTTTATAATCTGGAGTACAAACGATACAAATTTAAAATGATGCATAGATATCAATATTATTTCATTCTATAGGTTCATAGGGAGGGTATTGTATTAACCCTCAAATATTATGGTTTGAATTCATGCATCACGTAGATTTCCAGTGAATCTCAAATGTAAACTCTGTAATATTTTTCATTATAAAGCTCAGGCATATTTGCTTGTTTATTTATATATTTGGAATTCTATCTTTTATTATGTTTAAGTAAACATATATAATACATGCTTATTACTTATTTATTGTTTTTTTCATTTGTTACTAAACTGAAAAGTAATATCAGAAGGGGTTTGTGGAGATTTTTAGAAATTTTCACAGATTGAAATCATGAGTCAGTTGAAGCTAGACCACCATTGAAAACCTGGAAGCACTGGACGGCCGTTTCGTCCTAGTATGGGACTCCTCAGCAGTGCGCATCCACGATCCCGCACCACGCGGGGCTCGAACCCAGGACCTACTGGCTTCGCGCCTGAGCACTTAACCATTAGACCACTGAGCCAGCATCAAACGGTGTTAATGTCTAACTTCAACCAATCCACGAAGTTGCGCCACCATATACCATTGTCTTCAGTGAGCTGATATCTCACAACAGACCTGGTTGTACTCCATTGGTAACGGCTTCCCACTAGAACTCCAGGAGTATCTCTTGAAGTCAGTCACTAGTGAGCAGATGATTATTATCAGAAGGGGTTTGTGGAGATCCCGCGTGGTGCGGGATCGTGGATGCACACTGCTGAGGAGTCCCATACTAGGACGAAACGGCCGTCCAGTGCTTCCAGGTTTTCAATGGTGGTCTAGCTTCAACTGACTCATGATTTCAATCTGTGAAATTTTCTAAAAATCTCCACAAACCCCTTCTGATAATAATCATCTGCTCACTAGTGACTGACTTCAAGAGATACTCCTGGAGTTCTAGTGGGAAGCCGTTACCAATGGAGTACAACCAGGTCTGTTGTGAGATATCAGCTCACTGAAGACAATGGTATATGGTGGCGCAACTTCGTGGATTAGTTGAAGTTAGACATTAACACCGTTTGATGCTGGCTCAGTGGTCTAATGGTTAAGTGCTCAGGCGCGAAGCCAGTAGGTCCTGGGTTCGAGCCCCGCGTGGTGCGGGATCGTGGGTGCGCACTGCTGAGGAGTCCCATACTAGGACGAAACGGCTGTCCAGTGCTTCCGGGTTTTCAATGGTGGTCTAGCTTCAACTGACTCATGATTTCAATCTGTGAAAAGTAATAGTCAAGTCTGTTTATGAACTCCCGCCTAATGATTATCATTACTACAGTTGTTCTTAATGCTAATGTTACTAACTTTCATCGATAAACGTTGTAAAAAGTTTCATCTTGTCGTTTTTTTTCTTTTTTTTCAACATTTCATTATTTTGTCTTGCTTCAAATATTTCTCATTTTCTCTTCCCTCTTGTATCTGTATATTTACGTAGATAGATAGACATATAAGTAAATTAATTAATGAAAAATTTTTTGGCTTCTATTACGCTCTGCCTCATATCTCATTCCTTCCTATCTCATATCCAATTCTTACTGTTGTTCTTAACAAGCAATTTCCATTGTGAATGATAGCGCGATTTCTGTCATGTGATCTGAAGTTTATTTAAATTATTTTTGTTGCCTATTCATTGTCTACGGTTTTTGACCTTAAAATCATGATGCTTTTTAAAATATTTTTTTCTAAATATATACACACATATATTGTTGGTTTGTGAAAAATCAAAAGCGAGTTTTTCTACAAAAACAAGAATTTGTTTTATGTGGTTGTGAAAATTTGAGTGTCGAATTTCTCCCCTTATGTAAACAAAAATAGGACTGTTAACTGTTCGATTTAGGCTTTAAGTAATGGTAACAGATTATCCATTTATCCCATAAGTTCTCGACTTCCTCGTACATCTGTTTTACCTTAATATAAAATGAAAACTTAGTGGTTTTTATTAATCTTGAAATTTAACATACCTAGTGTTCAGTCTTAAAAACCTTATTACTAGGCTAAATTTTAGTCAGTAATTCACAAAGTAATCCGAGAATCGTTGAACAGCTTGAGTGAATATTATTTTAGATCTTATCCTCCTGAATGAACATACTAAATGATGATATTTTCTAAACCTGACCTTATATTTGATTATTAAAGGATACAATACTATACTAAACTGAAAATATGTTTCATCAAATTCTATCATCTAGAATACTTCAGGTTATATAAGTATTTACTTCTAGTTGAACTTTACAATATCATGTTGCATCACGTGGTTCATTGTTTTCTTTTGTCAGAAATCTCCTATCTATATAGTAGCACTTCTGATAAACTTTTGATGCTTTTTAGTTATCATCTTTTCCTACTTCCATTGTCCTTTTCAACTAATCAATGATTTTTAACATATCATTTAAATTTTACGGGCTATTAATGGATATAAACAAAGTTCTATTTGTCATTTTGTGTCGTCCAATGTTTTTCATCAAATTTTTATCTTGGATAGCTGTTTTTAAAAAAATATTTTTTCATCAAAAGATAAACATAATCATTTATTAACAAATTTTAATGAGTTTCTGTCATCCATACTGGTTTACTTGATATTTTATTTTTATAGAATTTTTGAGAGTTTGATTGGTCAAAGTGTTTGGTCACTGATCGATTACTAGTTACTTTTCCTAATATTGTTTTCGTGTATCCCAAACAGGTAAACAAAATAACGGCTATATGATTATAGTGTTAATTCACTAAAGCTTTCTGAAGATATTGTGAAGTTTTAACTGGTAGGAATGTCGTTTCCTAACCACATATTTTCTGTGTTCTAGAGTAGTAATAGAAATTAAAATTCTCTGCAATCAAAAAACATAATCGTAAATGATAAAAATAATAAACTATTTTAACTGACTACTTAGTTTATCCTATCTTATATTATTTGATCTATATACTCATTAAACAAAATAGTCGTACTTCCAAATATGATTTTCTGTTATTTCAGTATATTTTTTACGCGTGTTTTATGCGTGAAAATAACTTTTAAGCAATTTTAAGCTGATTCTCAAACTCAATTTAATAACTATATATCAAGTAAATTAAAGTTATTAAGTTCATTTTCTCTCATTTAAGCCTCTATAGTATCACTAAATTTTTTACTTCATTCCATTTTTTTTGTAGTTTTAGTCTATTATCTTTTTCGACCAATAATCTCTAAACTCAGTTATCCTATATTATTAGTCTCGATCAGTCTGATCAGTCATAATCTCTGTCTTTTTGCGTAAGTACATTAATTGAGTAGAATCAACTATTTGTATATCACTTTATCAAATATGCAAATGATATTTGTAGATTATTACAGGTTTAATTTAATGAGAAAGAGAATAATCTAACTAATTCTAATAGCTTGTTAGTCAGAAAAACTCTATTCATATACTGTGATGTTCCTCACGTTAATCTTGTTACAAAGTCTCTATTTGCATTCCATCATTAAGTACATTTTAAGTAACATTTTTCTAGGATATAAATCGAGAAGTTATTAATAATATTCATTGCAACCAGTTTAAGTGTGTCTAGCTCAAACATTTTGATTATTTCCCCCCTTATAACTATTTTTACCAATGTGTTCAAGACTACATGGCAGAAGTACGTTAGTTTATCAGTCCATTTAGTATTATCGTGGATTGGTTGAAGTTAGACATCAACACCGTTGGATACGGGCTTAATGGTCTAGAGCTTAAGAGTTTGTGCGCGAGACTGAAGGACCTGAGTTCGAGTCCTGCGTGCGGGGTAGTGGATGAGTGCTTCTGAGGAGTCTCATGTTGGGAAGAAACGGCCGTGTAGTGCTTCCAGGTTTACAATGGTGGTTTAACATTGATCAATTCATGATCCTAATAAAATTCGTCGATATGCTAATTGTTTAGGAAAATTGATTATTATATTTCAACATTCTTTTGTATGTATAAATGGATAAAAACGTGCTTTTCCTGATTATTAACTAGTGCACTGTACATGTGGATACCGATAAAACTTTCAGTGCATAGTTTTTTGTGTATGTATGTAAATTCGTTAAATGTTCTAAGACAATAAAATGTACCATCTTTTATTTTTATACGCTACTGCTAATTTTTCAACATTTACACCGTTATAACAATAATAATATAAAATATTTTCATGATTCTCCTTTATTGATTTTGAACAAATTATTATCTAACGTGTAGAATGGACACATGGATAATCCGTACTGTGAGGGTATTCAAGGTGCAATGGCTGCTTATGCCCATTCATTGAGAACAGTAAAGTTCCATGGACCAACAAATTTTGCTCCAATCATTAACACAGTAGCTAGGTAAGAAGTTTGTTTAGATTTTATTATCAACGAGAGTGAATAAATAAAGTTTTTACAAAATATTAAATTTCATCATCAATAAATAACTAGTTCATTATAGTTGATAATACTCATAATCAATTTAATCATTTTGTTATTATTTATCAAAAGCAATTACTGCTGAATTATAAAGCCCTTTAAAATCTCAATCCATGTAAAACTTAATAATATATTATGCTTTTTCTCAGTTCTTTCATTTTATTGTATCTGTTGAAATCTTTAGATGTATAAATGTAGTTGATTAATGAACAAGCACATGAAGTTTGATTGCCTCTGTTCCCATTCGGAATGAGTTGATATTTTTTGAAAAAAGTATTATATGAGCCGAATTTTATTTTACCTTACTAGTTACTTTGATACTGTATTCTATAAAATTACAGTTTCCTGGCCTCGTTCTCACCATATCAGCCTGCTTAGATTTTGTAACCCTAGTCAGCTACTCTCTTATCAAGTAAATACTAATTGTTTTGCTTTTTTAAATGTCTTTTTTTGGACTTTTTATATCGTCTTTTTCCTTTCACTTCCCTTCACTGAACTAAATGAAAGAGGAGTAAGAGTGTCTGATATTATTGATAGATAAGGTTTAGAGATATAATTTCTACAGTTAGTGCTTTTGACAAATTTGAACAATTCGACAAGTAAATGAAGTTCATCAGAACTATGTGACTAGTTAAGATATCAAAAAACTCTTTTAGCAACTAAAGCCGCTGCACAGAACTATAAGGTACTTGGGTATGAGTTCTACTCTAGTTTTTAGGGGTTATGACACTATCCAGTTGCTCAAATCGAAGGAGATGGAACAGCGTTAACCTGGGACGTAGAGGTTGAAGGTGGAATGTCTTAACTATTAAGCTGCTGCTCCAAGGATTATGGAATCGGTAAGTGCGTATTCATATAACTAAAACTTACTAATTTCATGGGACTTTAACTATGCGGACAGCGAAATTTACTAATCTAAATAAACAGAAGCATTCACTATGAACTAACAACGTGATTTTCAGTGAATTTAAATACTGACAGTTTAGAGAAAAGAACTAATGAGCTAATTAAGCCTCAAAATGAAATATCCTATTAATTATTATAAACATAATGTTGCATTTCGTATTATCGACAAATAGAAAAAGAAGGCTTAAATTCATAGTTGTACGTTTCGAAATTATTTTCTCCTAGTGCCCGGAACGAACTTGTATTGAGCACGATAAGATCACATTACTATAATGAAAATCATGATAATTATGTTAGTGGTGAAGACTAAATGCTGCGTATGGAAGGAATAGCACAACTCAGTATCTAGAAGATGATAAGAGAATCCATTTGCGCCACTATAGCCTAATCTTAATCCGTGTCACTCAACCTCTCCAACCACTAATCGTGGTTATCATGCAGAATCCATCCAGGTAGTCTGTACCTACCGCGCAGTCTAAATGTCAGTGATTTTATAGACTGATTGCATGTGTTAGTTAGGGTGTTCTCAGTCTCCTTGCGACCTGTTCCTGCACTAGCTTTTATTCTAATTCGAGGTAGGCACTGTTTGGATTTATGCAATAGGTCCGAATTCCTATTCATCTATATTTAATCATCACGAATAAACGTTCTCAACAGAGTTTTTGAAGAACATAACCAACTTGGTAACTGATTCGTCCTATTCTGTGATTCATCACAATCGCATTAAGATGAAACCATAATGAATAGAACTCAGTGCATTAATGTCTTGTATCAAGCATGGAAACGTTAAACCACTGAGTTTTAATCCAAAGGTGGAAAGCCACAATTTATCATATGGCGCGATATTCATTTAGCATCATCTGTGACTTTAAGTCTGAATATTGATTTAACTATTTTAACACATCACCACTTCCAACTCTGAACTTATTAGAAGTTAAGTAAAAACTTTGTCTGTCTACACAAATATAATGTATTTGTGGGAATTGTGCTGCATAAAATAAAAGGTTATTTGTTATTCCAGTCTTACAATTATTCAGCGGAATCCCAAACTGGAACAATTATGAAGTTGGATCTTTCAAAGCTTATCTTAAAAGCGTCGAAAGCATCACTATCTCATCTATAAACTGTGAAAGGAGTGTCTACTGAAGTTTAATGCATTTGTGATTGTTTCTTGCTGGGGGAAGGGGAGGGCTGAAGTTAAGGTTATTACTACGCGATCGGAATCTCCACTTTGTATAACCGTCTTACGTAATGATTAAAAATCATATGTCTCATGAGATTTTCCATTTTGAATTATTAATTTATGTCTTTGTTGGTGGTCATCACTGAAATCAGAGTATGCCAAAATTTCTCTAACTTTTCAGCATTGATGATTTTACGCTGTATATCATAAAATACTTACAGTGAAAATATCACACATAATAAATTATTAATAAAAAAACTGGCGTTTTCATAGTATGCTTTATGGGAAAAACATAAAATCACTAAATAAACCGAATGTTACTATTGTGTTTGATAACCGATTCCGCTGATAACATCGTACCTTATCGAATTTGTATTTGCTTTTTTGTACGTTGTTATTTTAATTTAGGAAATCTTTTTTTAATTGCTTGTTTTCTTCAATAAAAGTATTGCTCGTCAGTCTGTCGATGGTTCTCAATACTCCATTTTACTGATTCTCACTGATGGGATCATATCAGATTTGCCTCAAACAAAGGCTGCTATAGTAAATGTAAGTGTATAAATTTTATTTCTGTTTAATTTCTCATTTATTTGTAAGCACATTTTTTTGTCTTACACTAAATATAAATCGAACTGTATCATCACTTATTTTCATTGAATTTTATCATATAAATAAATTCAACATATCATATCATAATAATTTGATTTTGATCAATTTTCTATCTGCTTAAATAATAGTTGTTTCCGGACATTTAGATGTTTCACTTCAATTCATTATTATTAGGTTGATTGATGGATATGTAAGTAATCAACTGATTTATACTATAGATAATCTTTAAAGGAGGAACATGTTAATTTTTGCCATTCAGGATGACTAGTTTGCATATATCAATCGTTTGCTAACAGTTGACTTAAACTTAATTAATCTATTTCTTGATCTAGGTATTATTTTAAAGTGCATACATTTTGATGACAATGTTTTTCATATTAAAGACTTATCAAAACTTGATAATCGGTTATAATATTTTGTTTATTATTAACTGAATTTAGACTAATCATATTATATTTAGGGCTACAACCTTTTATTGACATACAACATGTTAAAATGCTTCTGATGATATACAAGTTATTTTGTACCAATACTGTCAATTTTTAGCTTTATTCTACACTATTCTAGTGTTCATGTTCTCACGATAGATACAATGTAAAAAAAACTTCATAGAAGTTATTCTGTAAAATTTTTTCTTTGTATTTCATAATGTAGAAGGAATAAGATTTGGTTTTTAGGCGGATACAAACCGAAACAGTTAAATGAATGTCATACACATAATTTCTTTTTTCGTCTTGAGAGAAACAGGAACAAAAAATTAAACAGAATAACATGAAAATATTTTATTTCACCAGATTCCCATTAGCCTTTTACAATCTGTAACAATTAAAAATTAAAATTAAATGTAGGTTGAACATGCTGACATGGATGAATTTGATTAAAGTTTAGTTAAATATATCTGGATTAAGTTATTGAACATGCTGTTTTATACAGGACTGATAGTTGGTTACAGATTAGGTTTCAGCTAACGAAGTGTCAAGCCTCTTATCCCCACAACATTGCCTCTGATGTTAAGATGGATAAGGTTGAGGTTTCTTATTAAATGTGGTTATATTTAACTTGTTATCTTTAGGATTTTTCTTGGTCATCAAACAATTTTTGTTGGTTGCAGTTGTCTCTTAGGCACTTTTCAACGTCCGTTGTTCCTTCCAGTTTGCCAATTGTTTCTTGTAAATGATTGAATAAGAACACAGAATCGGAGTATAACCCAGTAAAAGTATTTTTCCGAAAAACTGGACGTCAATATTTGCCGATTACTCTATGTATAACTATAGCAAAAGTTCTGGATTTGCCACTCTTTCTATGGCTTGAGGGGCGAAATTAACTTATCGTTTTAAGCAAAATCACACAATGGGTTTGTAAAATACGAAAATCATACATACATTCCTTTAGTTGTCCTTCACATACTCCATCAGTCTTACAATCCTGTTGTTATTCCGATTGTCCTCTGTTTTTCCTTCTCTTCTCTCAATTTCCATTTTCTGTTGGTAAATATTCCACTTCCAATTCCTACTATATTCTACTTATATCTGTCTGCATAGCTGGTGCACATACGTGTTGCGTTGTAAATCGCATGTTATGATACACGTTGTTGGAGAGTTCTATCAGGTGGATCACATTCTGTTTGCTATTGCCAATATTAAACCAGCTATCAAAATGGCTGATTTACTCTGTTATTTCGTTAATCATTTGTCTAAGTTCTGTGCTTTCAAGATAACTCATAAATATATTTACCAGAACAGAACCTAATGGACTTATGAATCTTGCGCACTCAGTGTCTGAATTTTCTGTTCCATGTAACTAACAATTAGCCTCAAGTTATATCGAAATACTTTTTGAACCATGAATCGTATAAAATTCCTTATTTAGTATTTATAAATTAGACAAGCTACATCAGTCCTTATAAAGTTACAAAACATTTGTTTTTACACACTGCGAACATACCTTATATTATACATTGAGTCAAATACAGTACTAAGTGTTTTCGTCAGCTTTAACATTGTCAATGTCAATCATTTTCTAATTCTAGGAATCGATATTAAAGTGAATTACGAAATGGATTTACATCGATTTTGTAATTAGATTATATGATTATGCACATATTGCATACTGATAGTCTTAGGTTGTTTTTCGATGTCGATAGTTGCCAGTTGTATTATTCCATTAGTTTTGATATACTTATTCTAATAACTTTATTATATCTTGTATCCTGAGAAAATAATGAATTAGTTTAAGTTGTTTTTTTAACCAACTGTTTATAATATATGTTGTTATTCCGATGAGAAACATGGTAATATTTGATGATGGTTCCCAGCATGGGTATCAGAAGCTACAGTTGTGTCAATTTCAGAAAGTAGGAACCGATATCCAACTAAGTGTCAACATTTCAACTGTTTCCAAATGGCTAGAGTTAATAAGAAAGACGAGTAGTTCATGAAGATAAATCGGGTGGTAGTTTTTGATACTAGATGGTGAAGAGTGTGTCGATTTCCTTAAAAGTGAATTTCGTAAAGAAACTCCAGTAGTTCATGAAATATATGTCTTTCACTGTATTATTTCGAAAATGATATAATTTTCATGATTACACCATTCGGTTCACAAAACTTGACTCAGAAATGGTGTTATCGTGCACAAGACTTTTTTTTAACTGTTCAGTTTTCTGTTTTCTGTATACTTGGGTGTTTTATCTGACGCGTTTTTCATTTCGCGAATTAATTCAAATTTTATTATCATATATCGATACAAGAACAGAAAATAACAAGTATAAGGAGATAATAAATTTATCGCGATATTAGACTGAGGTTAGCAAATAAATTAATAAATATAATAATAGGATGTTCAAGATAAATAGTGAGAAGAACAAGGTTATTTTATTCAATCTTGTGGTAGAGTATCTATACTCTATAAGCAACTGATTATTAACATCTTGAGAAACAAATAATCTTACTTGTACAGCTTAGTCAAACAGTCTATTACTATGTGGACGGTTTCTGGAAGCTTTTCTTGTCCTGATCATGCCTCTGTCATTTTTTCCACTTCTCATATTCAACAATACATCAAGATGTTTAAATCCAATGGAGGTATTATTTGCAAACTTCCAGCGTTTTAATGGAAATTCAGAGTGCTTTATCAGCTTTTAATTTATTTAACTTCTAAAATAAGTTGATTTTCATTCTAGAAATAGAGGAAGACAACTCAAGTATCTTCCTTATTTTTTACCTGTATCTGGTCTAAATTTAATTGCTTAATGGAGCAATATTTCGAACATCATTTACATGTTGTGTACCTCATACAAGACCATTCGGTAATATTTTTATTAAAATTAGATCAATCACTTATTACTTGAAGTTAGAAATGAAAAGAATTCGTCTTAAACTAAGAGATATAAAGGTAAAGTATTTTTTCAATGGCCTGAAATTCATGAGTTTGATCCCTGTTTGGGTCAAGGGTGCATACTGTTATGGAGTCCAAAACTAGGAAGAAACAACTGTCAAGTACTCCTCGTTTTTCAAAGATTGTCTGTAACGTAAACTCTGCAAACTGAACATTATCCACGAACATTCTGTCCATTCTTCGTCAAATGGAACCATTGTTATGATCTTTCTTGTTTTCAGTCTCTTTAAAACCTTTTGTTCCTGTTTGATAAGATGAGAATAGTTTATCTTTTGTCGAAGCAGGTGTACAATCACTTGTCATATTTCTTTCTGAGTTTTTTTTCATTTCTAATGTTTTGAGTGTCAAATTTAGAGTTGCGAAAAATTTCGGTTTCTGATCTCCCGTATTTCAATTCAATTCTTTTGGAAATAAACGTTCTGCCTTGGTCGAGATTTATTTGTTTTGATAAGTGTACTTCACAATCATTTGTTTCTGCTTCATTCAGTGGGTTGGATATTTTGACTAATTTTTCTCTGAGTCTCTTTACTGTCGTCGATGTCATTTGCTTGATTTTTCGCTTTTAAAGTTATTATCATTATTTTTTGATCCCAGTTTTTATTCCGTACTAGTTCGGCTCAAAAGTTAAAAATATTGAGCACCGAAATAAACTTGGAAAACTTGCTGTATTGACTATTGTAAATTGAATTCATTTAATTAAAGTCATTTGAACAAGTTTGCAATGAAACTGGAAAATCGACTGAAATGAAATAGTGTCAATTAAGAAATCCTCTCGGCGATTATAAGCCACTATGATTATTTTTGTGTTTTTAGATGGGTTATACAGAGGTTCGGTCAGACTTCATTTATACGAAAAATTAACCCTGATTATCTGCTAAACAAATCTTAAACATTTTAAGGCAAAATAACCGGCAAAATAAATCCGTAAGATAAAAAATGAATATTCATCGAATACTTTTAAAGCATTGAAACAAACTAAATAGACAGTTTCATCCATTTTTCTCTTTGTTTTACTTCACTTTTCTTGTAAGCCTTCTGCATATAAACAGAAACGAAAATAGGTGCAAATGCGAGTTTAGACATAGTCCGTTTCATCAGTTGTATGATAGTACAAATAGTACATATAAATTGAATTTATTGATGATAAGTTTTCATTTCCTGTAATAGTAGAATTAATGGGGTATTGAGTTTTTTTTCATTTACTCCGAATGTCTACTTAGAATCTTCTTTTATATAAATAACATTGTGAAGTGTACCCAAATGTACCGAGTCACATTCTTTCATTATAAATAAATATTTTTCTCCATTTGGTTTTACATCGATTACGTCTCATCAGTTGTTGTTTTTTCTCTGAGGACTTACAAAACATAGACATTAGGATTAGGAGTTTTGAATGTTCTACATGGTAGCTCGTTTTGTCTGAATAGAAGGTAACAAATACTTACGAATAAATTAAAGTAATTTTCGAGTTTCGTTACGAAAGTTTGTAGTTAATTTCACCTTTTAATTTTCTTCACACATGTCATTTTATATTTCGATATAAATATAATTATAAGCAAAGATGGATAGTGGCTAGCAGTGGAATCCAGGACGCGCGTTTCGTCCTGTTTGGGACTCGTCAGCTGGATGTACCTGCATGTCAGAGTTGATGTTCACTCTGGGACTCGAACTCAGTACCGTTCGCTTCAAACGCCATCGCGTTATCCACTTAGCTACTGACTCCTGATAGCCACTTGCTTGTGCAATGGGGTGAAGTTTAATTCACTTGGTATTGTTTTACTTGAATCTTCCCATTGATGTTTTAGGACTGAAATTGATCAGTCGGTACTGAGTTCGAGTCCCAGAGTGAACATCAACTCTGACATGCAGGTACATCCAGCTGACGAGTCCCGAACAGGACGAAACGCGCGTCCTGGATTCCACTGCTAGCCACTATCCATCTTTGCTTATAATGCTTGTAAATTAAGGCAATATCGAGGCATACGCACATATGCCAATGAGAGACTGATCAATTTTAGTCCTAAAACATCAATGGGAAGATTCGAGTAAAACAATAGCAAGTGAATAAATATAATTGTTTCTTTTTTCTTTAAAATTCAATCGAAACTTATAGTTTAGTCTTAAGTAACTGTTTAGTAAGATTCCTTTTACATAGAATTTTTTTCTTAATCTGTAACTGTAATTTCATCACAGACTTCAGTAAATATTGATGGCCTTTAAATGGAATTACTGAATATACAATCCTTTGAAGCCAAAATTGATAATAGGGCGTTGGGGATTTAACACTTTCATGCAATTGTTCATCAATCATTGTGTTTCATTCCAAGCAGTATATCTCAACTGCAAAAGTTTCATCATAATGCACTTAATTCAGTTGACTAAACGTGTTTAAAGTCACGAGTTGCAAAATGTACTCAGGTAGAATGTTTTTCTGCTATCTTTCGAAGTAAATAAAAGTATTCCTATCCTACAAAATAGAGGTTGAGAACATTATACATACACAGTATATGTATATGCTCATATAACATAAAGATTTTCAGTAATATTATTAATCAAAACTAGAAAGTAGTATTCTTACTAAACTTATTAGGGTTGTACACTTAAGTAAGGAAAATATTATTTTGTGTATTTTTAGAGTAAGATTCTTAATTTAGGTTGTAAGTAGTAGTTACCGTCGCGTTTCTCCAAGTCATTTAGCGAATGTCTACTTTTTTTGCGTAAACTTCAAAGTAGCAACTGTATTAGTAGTTATCAATATTTGAATGGTTTGGAAAAATTGATTATTTCAACAACACGAATGTGGATAAAGAAATATCGATAATATTTGGCTGTTCTTATTTTGAATCCTTATGTAAAAATTTTCCTAACATTGTTCTTGAGATCTTTATTACAGCTGTATATATGTGTGTCTATATACATGCTTATCATCTTTTTGACAATTTTATTGATACGTTTGGCTTTTTTAATTCAAACATCAACTGTTGTATGAGTAAATCAATGTGACCTGAAATAAAATTATATGACTTCACTATTCATTTTTTCTGTAAATACATAGATTTAGGTCAAAACCTCAAGTTGTATGTGCCCTAATCCTCATAAATAAATTAGGGCAGCCTTTTTATAAAGTGGAAATAGTTTTTATTCTTGCTCAGTTAGTAAACTCAATAAAACTGATTCTTTATTTATGCATATTCAATTATTATTATCGATTATGTATCGTAGAAACGAGATTACGATTCGTGAGCCTTAGGGATCAAAATATAGTCAACGTATGTTCATTTTTATATGATATCATTTTATTGCTTTGTTGTAAAATAGTGGTAAGTTCGTCAGTATTTCTAAAACTTGTTAACTGCATTTATTGGTCTATATGATGAACTAGGCTATATAATAATAATAATAATAATAATAATAATAATAATAATAATAATAATAAAGTATAAATTGTAAAAATGATCTGTTTTTCAGTAGTGAATAGTTTTCACTATGTATTTTCTGATATAAATAGGCGTCCAGTTTACCTTTAAGTATCATTATTGTTGGCGTCGGTCCTGCGAATTTCGATGAAATGGAAGAACTTGATGGTGATGAAGTAAGACTAAGTTCTCGTGGAAAAACGGCGATTCGTGATATTGTTCAGGTACGTTTATGATTCATATTTATTTCCTTTCTATTCTTTGTGTTATTTATAAATCTATTGATTCGGTGGACTATTCAGTTATTTCTTAGAAGAATTGTATTCAGTTAATTCAGATTCTATAATATTATCACAGTATGGGGTTGATTTATGGTCATATATTCTTGTTATCTCACATTATTTACATTAAATGCATTGGCTATTACTCGTTTGTGTGATGACATTTTGTTTACTGATATCAAGGTAATTTGTGAAAATTTATCTCATGCAAGCACATTAGGATTGAGTTTAAACTGATACAAGAAATCTTTCTGAATCATCTCATTCACTTGTAGAGTGGATTAAATTTAAAAGCATTGATATCCTCATCGAATTGCTCTACCCACACATGTTAGTATAGGCGGATATAGCATTTAGGTTGCAAAATGCGGTTGTTTTTTTTAGTTAATTCAACCCATATGCCAGGTACTGATTCGTGTACTCTGGTTCAAATCACATCCTAAGCGCGATAACTACTAACAAGTTGGCTAAACCAAATTATCAGAAGATGGTTCGGAACTTGCAACTTTTTGACTAAAATTCGGACGATTTACCCACTAAGTCACCACGACCATAAAGGATATGTTTCTTAAACCTTTAGTCTTAGCCACTGTAATTTCTCAATCAGAAAGTCCTGTTGGTATCTGGAAATGAAGGTTACACCAAGTAAATACAACGACGGATGCACTTTTATTACCATTCAATGTTGATAGTAACATGAACAATTAAGTTATCTTGTGATATCACCAATAAAAATAGTATCTTTTTAATAAGATGTCTTTAAGAAACGAATATTTGAAAGTGTTCATGTCATTAGATTTCCAACCTGTTTATGAAAACTACTTAATATATAATGCGCTGGTCAGTTTCTCAGTTCTAAATAAAAGAATAAGATTAGTTAACGTTGTTATTTCAATATCCCTTGGTTCTCGAAACTGTGTTTAGTATCTTAACTCTGTTTCAATAAGTTTCTTAGTGGCTTGTGAACGACAAACTAAAGTCATTTTAAATGCCTAGTTCTAAATATACCAGTCTTACAAAAAGCTCATAATACTGATTCTTTGAGGTGATCATGTATGTTGGTTTTAGACTGACTGCCACTTACTCATCCAACAGACATTTTTATGATTTGTTTACATCAGTTTTCTGCTTACAACGTTTTCAATGATGTTTTTCTTGTAAATCATCAGGATTTTCCTCCTATTTCATTTAATTGTTCCATACTATTGTATAGTGTAACAACTTGATCATCTGACCACATTATTCTGATTTCCTTTTTAAATTTAGAAACTCTACTTCAATAAAATAGAATTTCACTTTTTTTACTTTCAGTTTGTTCCTTTTCGCAATTTCCACCAGTTGAATAATGTTCAAGAGAGTAAAAGACGTTTAACTAAAGCTGTTCTCTCAGAAATCCCAGATCAATTGGTATCTTATATGCGAATGCAAGGAATTAAACCGTTGAATACACAAAATAATGATTTTAAGATAGGAACACATTCAGAATTCAGGGATTCAAGTTGTAAAATGTATCATTCAGATAAATTGCCTCACGCTCCACCTTATCCTACTGATATTGCTAATCCACCTTATCCAAATTGTTAATAAAATTAATCTAGTATAAATGTGTCAAATAATATAGAACAATTTATTTGAATATATAAAGCATGGCTTTAAACTAAATGAATGTTTTTTTTGTATAGTTGAACTTCTACCTTTCATACTATGTTAAAACATTCATAACTTTTTAAATTTTTTTCCGGCTGATGATAATCATGGTCGCAATGTTTGCATTCTATGTGATTTGCAAGATTAATAAGTATTAACATATTTATGTTAATCATAATGCTTAATATCTGCAAGCAGAATTCATATATATCCCAATAATTTACTTATCCATATAAATATTACCTAATTCTATTTGATTTTATGCATAGAATTTTGATGTCGTATGTGCAATAACGCCATAATGTCCTATCATTATATTTTCCTGTTTGGCTTATATATTTTTTCTGAAGTTGTTTTTTTTCTTCTTACAAAATAACAATAATAAATTCCTAAATGTGGTTTACGTTTAGTCAAAACCAGTTTCCAAATATGTGTCTCTTACAACTATAATAAATCCTCCTATTATTAGTGTCTTACTCAATTTACTCTTGTTTTTTCATAAACGTTTTTTTTGTTTTTCATTCTTTTCTGACGGTGAGAACAATAATGATATGAAAACCATGGGTCATAGTAACAAAAAAAGCGGAAGTCTTATCTAATTAATGTCATATCTTCTTGTACCTTACAAGCTATTGTTAGTACACCTGATATAACTACTTTTAATTTCACTACTCCTCAATAAGAAGATAATACCAGAGAAAATTATCATTTGTTATTGCAGAAAAAAGTAAAAAAATTGCTGCTTGTAACACCGCATTTCCGTATACATTTAAATAGTTGTAAGGTCGTAAGTCTTTTAAACTAGATCTCCAGATTTTAATCTGAAGTACAGTAATATATATATCCGCATATGTGAAGATTATAAACCATTTTTGGGAACTTATATGACCATGGTAACCATAAAATAGATTATATGATTGATCATAATGATTAAAGAGCATTACTTGATAGAAGGATATGGTGTGTACTAGTGTAGTAGACTTTACTCACAAGAATATCTGTAATTAGTGTGAAGCGGGACATGGCGTCAAAGGTACAGTGATTATCAAACGAAGTGAGGAGTTAGGTTTATCGGAAGCGCGATGTTTGTAGAACACTAAAAAGCAAAGTTTAAATAATTATGAAAGTTACGTTACATGTAGTTTTGAAATGGTTGTGGACGGAATATATGCTTTCGCTTAACGGGCTTCCGTGTCTAGTAGCAGTGGGTCACCAATATTCCAGGCTAGAACCTTGGTATATTACCATAAAAAATGAAAAAAGGTAAATCATAGTAGTATACTATCCTTAGTGCTTAAGAATATGTTAAGTTCCCTCTTAAAGGACTCCTACTACGTCTCTTGCACTAGCTCAGCCAGCAGCGAACTCTAGCATTTGATTACTCTTAAATGGTTGGAGTTGTGTCTGCCATCAGCTCTGCTGTGTTTTGCTTCCAGTTTTTTTGGGTGTTACCCCTTAGGTTTTCATTATCTAATTGGTTTCTCGTGAGTTAGTAGGGAGATATTTTGACAGGGATACATAAATGGCTTGCCATGTAAACTGCGGTGGTCTTAAAATTGACATACACATTTTACCTCTTAGAAATGTAGATGTAAATAAATCGCCAGAATGGATAGTCCTGTAAGTCCTCGAAATTGATGCTGAACTCATTAGCTCTGATGAACATAACCAAAGGCTCTCGTTCACACATCCGCATCAGAACAAGAGTGGGTACGCCGTGCCACGCATCCATCGTAACCACTAAACAGCTTAGATCCAACGACGTTTGGCGTATCGATGACTTCAAAAATAAATCTTCGAAGATCTTCATTGTGCTTCAGTTATAAAGATGCTTAGTTTAAGAGAATAGTTAAGTTTTATACTTACGCCTGTTACTCGCAATGAAGCATAGGCCACTGACAAGCATTCTCCAACCCACTCTGTTCTGGGCCTTCCTTTCTAGTTCTATCCGATTGTTGTTCATTCTTTTCATGTTTGTCTCCGTTTCTCGGCATAATGTGTTCTTTGATCTTCTCCTCCTTTGGCCTTGACGATTCCAAGTGAGGGCTTGCGTTGTGACGCAGTTGGTTGCTTTCCTCAATGTTTGTCCTATCCACTTCCAGCGCTTCCTGATTTCTTCCTCCACTGGAATCTGGTTTGTCCTCTCCCATAGTAGTTTGTTGCTGATAGTGTCTGGCCAACGGATTCGAAGTATTTTGCGTAGACAGCTGTTAATAAACACTTGTATCTTCTGAATGATGGCTTTTGCAGTTCTCCAGGTTTCCGCGCCATACAGTAGAACTGTCTTGACAGATGTATTGAAAATCCTGACCTTGGTGTTGGTTGACAGTTGCTTTGAGTTCCAGATGTTCTTTAGTTGTAAATATGCTATTCTTGCTTTGCCAGTCTGCGCCTTCACATCTGCATCAGATCCACCGTGTTCATCAATGATGCTGCCCAGATATGTAAAGGTTTTTACATCTTCCAAATCTTCTCCGTCAAGTATTATTTGATTGGTGCATGTTATATCGTATCGGAGAATCTTGCATTCGCCCTCCTGTATGTCGAAACCTAATGCTGTTGAGGCTGCTGCTACACTGTTTTATTGATCTTCAATGATGGTGATTACCTCGCCTTCCTTGCTTTTCACTGGTCGTTCTGGTTTGCGGCGATTTCCAGAGAGTTTCTTTGTCGTGTCAAACAATTGTCTCATGTTTCCTTCTCTTGCGGCCTTTTCCGCCGTCGTTGCTAAATCTTCCATATATTTACGTTTGTTGGTTCTGATGCTTCTCTTCACTTATTTGTTTACTTCTGTGTATTCAGCTTGTGCCTTGGCATTTTCTGCTCTTGTTCGACTGGTATTGATTGCTGCCTTCTTGTTCCTCCTTTCCTGAATCTTATCCAGTGTATCAACAGTGATCCATTCCTTGTGGTGGTGCTTCTTGTGGCCCAGAACCTCATGACATGTTGAAAAGATCGCCTCTTTTATCCTTCTCCAGTTGCTCTCCATAGTACTCCCCCCTCCATTGAGTGAATCGTGAAAGGCGTGGAACCTATTACTGAGGACTATCTTGAATTTGTTGAGTTTGTCAGTATCCCGAAGAAAAGCCGTAGTAAACTTTTGTGATGTTGTCCGCCACATTTTCCAGCGCTTCTTGAGTTTCAACTTTATCTTGGTGACCAACAAGTGATGATCTGATGCTATATCAGCTCCTCTCTTGGTTTCGTATCCTCCATCGTCCTCCTAAGCTTTTTGTTGATGCAGATATGGTCGATTTGGTTTTGTGTAGTGTGATCCGGTGACGTCTATGCGGTTTTGTGTATGCGTTTGTGTGGGAATATGGTGCCGCCTATGACCAGTTTATTGAAGGCACATAGTGTTACGGGAGAACTGAAGACATTTGGCGGATTAAAATTTTTTATTGTACATTAATAATTTACTGTGTTTTTGGATGTAATTGTTTTACTTAACTTTTGAACTTGTCTGTTTATATCATTATTTCGGACATTTTGGTTTGGTATTTTGGTGCTCTCTTTATCTTTGGTTTGGTATTTGGGTGTTTTGCTCCGGGAACCTACAAAATTGAAGGTTTGTTTTGTAATTGTTATGATCATTATTGTTAGAACGACGTTTATTCGACTATTTGTGAATTACGAATAAATTTGATACATAAATTGGAGCTTGGTTCTGTTGTTAATTTGGGTCCGTAATTTGCAAGTAGATTGATAGTCCGTACTTCAATAACTGGAACGAGCAAAACTTGGACGTACCACATAGGTTTGCAAACCTCTCACCAGTTTCGTTCATTTATCTCAGTCCGTATCGTCTCATGATATCTTCATATCCAGTGTTTTCCGTTCCAAACTTGTCATTGAAATCTCCCATCAGAATGGTCAGATCTTTGTTAGGCACTTCTCGATGATTGGCTGCAGCCTATTGTAGAATTGATCTTTAGCGTCTTCATTTTGGTCGTTGTTAGGTGCACGTTAATGGATGAAGTTCATTGAAATGCCCTCTCTGTTTGTTTTGAAGGAGGCTTTGATGATCCTTGGTCCATGAGATTCCCATCCTATATGTGCATTTTGTGCTTGTTTGTATAGCATCAATACAATTCCTTGTGTATGTGGGGCATTTTCTTCTTCACGGCCGAAGTGTAGCAGGAGCTCACCTGAAGTTAGTCGTTATTGTCCAACTTGCGTTCAATGTGTTTCACTGATCCAAAGCACCTTTAGGTTGTACCTCCTCATTTCTGCAGCAATTTGGAAGGCTCTCCCGGTGTCCCACATTGTACGAACATTCCATTTACCTAAATAAATGGTTGCTCTGGTTGTCAGAAAGGAAATCCGCCTCGTAACTTCCGAAGGAACTCGGCTTTCGTCATGAGGCGTCGTAGTTCTTCTAAATGAAGACCTTCTGATTCCCAGGGCAGAGCTTATAAGGTTCGAATAATATTTTCTAGTTAGCGTTTTTTAGCGAGATAGTTTTCTACGGGATGGGATCGCTAACTCCATGCGCAACCCTCTTCCTTTATCCGGGCTTGGGAACGGCAGTAGATCCCAGAGGGACTCCAGGCGGAGTTATTTAGGTTTTATACTTTATAGTATTTCCAAAAATAACTTCCTATTTGAGAACTTGTTATGGTTTAGGCGTCTCCAAAATTTACATCTGATCCTTTATTCTAAAACCCTCTTAACAAAGGAAAAATGGCCAAACTCTCTGTGAGATATGTATCGTTAAGCGTTAAAATCTGGGTTCCACATTTTCACAATCTGATTTCACAACAGCCGTACAGAAATACCTTATTTCCTTGATTTTCTGGGTACTTCTGTGAGTCATTAGTTTCCGTTGACCATTTGATTATCAATACGTCTTTGTAGGCAGAACTATGGACTTGAAGCTGTTCTGTACCATCAAGACCCATAAATAAGACAATGGTTTAAAATTACGTGATCTCATAGATATTGGATAATGAACGTGAGAGCGCAGTTTAAAGAAAGTGCTGTAGACGGCTGTTCTTAGTATTAGCCTTTCGGATCGCTGGTCTGCTAGCTCTGTTTCAGGATTTATTATTTTCACTTATACCATTAGTTATTTACTCGTAGTTTATATGCACTCGACATTTCAGTATTTTCAAAGTGGAAAACACTACCAGTCAGATATTTGATTTTTTAGTCATGGATAAAAATTAGTTCTCTTCAGAGTTTTTAAGGCCACATAAAGCAGTGATATGAATAGAATCGGCCAATTATTAGTTGTTTCATGAATATATGCCGTCCCAAATGTAGGAAATGTTTAAAAAGACACCTCTTGTCGTAGAGATGGTCCATTCTGCTATACTGAGGGAAGCGTTCTCAGTCCTGGCGACACCGCTTAGCGTGATGGTCTCACACTCGCTAAGGCGAGGCAAACTACCGGAAAATTGGAAGCTGACTTACATCACACCAGTTTTCAAAGGAGGTCGACGCAGCGAACCTTCAAGTTACCGACCGGTGGTTGTTCTCTCTATGCCTTCAAAAATCATGGATTACCTGATATGCGACGGTTTAGTCGACTATCTACTGTCCTCAAATTTCTTCTCACCCCAACAGCATGGTTTCAGAGGGGCTACCCTTGTATAACCAACGTGCTGACTGCGGTGGACAGATGGACGAGCATCCTCGATCTCATGAGAAAGGTTGACATCATTTACCTAGATTTCTCAGAAGCTTTTGATAAGGTTAACCATTTATGTCTTATCAATAGGTTTAAAGATTGGGTGTCATACCACCTCTGATTGGTTGGCTCGCTTCATATCTGAAAAATCGACATTTTAAGCTTAGGGTTAACTTCACTTTATCTCAGGCCATGGAATGTCCTAGTGGGGCAGCCAGCGCCCAGTACTAGGACCTCTTCTCTTCTTAATTTATATAAGTGACCTTCCAAGACAGGCGTCGTCAGACATTAATTTCTGCTGATGACGTGAAACTTTGGAGAGAGATACGCAATCAAGACGATATACAAGCACTTAAGGAGGATCTGACTCGACTTCAAAGTTGGGCAGACGACAACAGACTGCAGTTACAACTTAAGAAACTCCTCTCCAGTAGTATCCCAAGTCGAAAAAGATTTAGGAGTCCTGGTGCCGTACGATTTGAAGTCTTACGCTAACTGACAAAAATGCCTTTCGAGCAAATCTTGCACTGGTAAAATTGAAGCGCATTTTTGACCAGTTTGATGAAAGAACTTTCACAAAATCTTCAACAGTTTTATTCGTCTTCATTTGGAGTACGGAAACATAGTATTTCCTCTCTCACTACAAAAGGATAAGGACACTCTGGAGCGTATCCAACGGCGAGCCACGAAGTCAGTTCGGGGACTCAAATTCAAACCTTACGAAGAACGCCTCCGTTCACTAGACCTTTACCCATTAGAGTATAGGCATCTTAGAGGTGACCTTCTGATGGCTTACAGTATCCTTAACATTTCTGGACATCCCCTTAAACACCTATTTAAGATTAGTCCCAATACCAACCTAAGGGGTAACACCCAGAAATTGGAGATGCAACATAGCAAAAAAGACTGTAGACGCAAATTTTACTTAAGAGTTGTCAAATGTTGGAATTCGCTGCCGTCTGAACTAGGGCAAGAGACTTCCCAGGAGTTCTTTCAGAGGAAACTTGACCTATTCTTAAGGACCAAGGATAACATCTCATTATGAGTTACCAATTTCTTTTTTTCTTCCAATCTATTATAGTCAATATACCTAGGTTCCTACCTGGAGGTATTGGTGATCCCCTGCTACTAGACACGGGAGCCTGTTAAGCGAAAGCTTCTTCTATTCCGTCCACAACCATTCGAACTACGTTTAGACCTTAGTCGATTGTTCATGTCGAAATATTACCATACACTATCTTGCAGTTGTGATTATTAAGTAAAGGTAGCCATTAACTGTTCTCACTTCGGTATGTTCACAACAGCTTTATATTATTGAGTGCTGACAACTGTTGTGTATTACATCTCTTTTTTCATACGACTAAGAGGATTTCAACTACGTAAATTCTTTAGATGTGAAGAAATAGCCACATACTGTCGATTTCATATAGCTATGTTAGACTGCCTCGCATAAACAATAATTTGCGTTATTGTAACGTTTACGAAATCCCGTGCTGTGTACATGACTTATGTTATTACTTTCTAATTTCTTCTAAGATGTCTAACTGATGGAAATTGTCAGCATTGATTCGCCGAAGTTCCGAATAGGAGATCTGAGAAAGCAGTTTATTTCCTGTCTACCCGATGAACATAAAATATTGAAGGAAAACGAAGCTAGTGATCTTCTTACATCTGAGTTTAAGAAGATCGTAACTGATTCTTCAATATTAAAGCAGCTTGAGAATGATTGCAGGTAAATCTATATACAATTTGAGATTTTTGTTTAGTTTGGAAAATTTATACGTCGATAGAGAGTACACGACCTTAGAAGAAATCTTAAAAATCATACCATCGAGGAAGGATGAAAAGCAGCTGAAAACCCTAACTCATTTACTGAAAGAAACTGAAGGTTTGAATTCTAGAACATCAGTCCTCACAGCGATGCAAAGAAATCCTCGACCACTTGTGGATATGTCTTACCGAAATTCTGTTGATGAATCTCCAGAGGCCACAGAAGTCATCCCGGATGTATTTGTGACCGTTCTTGTCTACCGACCATTTAGCCTTCCTAACATTGATCCCTGTGCACAGGTATTACTGGTCATTTTTAGCGACTTTGTAAGTCTCGGCAACTAGTCATTACTCAGAGGTTGGTGCTGTTGTCCAAACAAAATCTCACGGTCTTAAGGGAAGCTATAAAGTGTTCACAAGATAAAGTAAGTGTTAACCTTGTGTAAACAGTTGTCAGGTTTGGCTAGGAGACTGTAGCGAGGCCCTTGATAATCCTGAACTGCGTGTTTCGGCGGATAAAATATACCCTTCTTCATACTTTTTCATTGAAGGCACATTTTATGATGATTTGCGGAAGACAAATAGCAAGAGCCTTGGGGAGTAAGTTATTTTGTTTACTTACGTTATGCCCTAGAGAGGTTATACAGTGGGCGAAAAGCAAGAAAGAACTTAAGACGTATGGGCCTTTTACATCATTACCAATGGAATCAGTGACTCTCGCAAATCTTGTTATTTGTATTGGAAAGCCATATTTCTTCGTACACCAAGGAAATTGTGAACATATGATTATCTTCTCCGATATCCGGTGGGTTTAAGAACTCATTCCTTAGTTCTGGCATTCCGGTTTATCTATTATACTAGCAATTTATTTGAAATTGTGGTTAACCTCAACCTAATCAATCTGTAAACTATTGCGTCACCAAATCGACTACTCCTAACCTATTGTTTGGCTAAGTAAATGACCATTCTGGGATCCCATATCGGTATTGCGAGGATAACTTACATTCAGGACATGGGATTCTTGAGCCCTAGCAAGTGAACCCTGTTGCTCGGTTGGACATAGGCTTCGGACATTAAAAGGATCACCGAATAGTTTAGAGCGTGGCTTCAGTAAACTTTTGACGCCATTTTGTTAACTCGAATAGTCAGCACTAGTGGCATGTCTAGGAGAAGTTGAAGATTTATATTTAACGAATTATTAGTGAGTAAAAGAGGGATTGATTGTGAATAAGGTGACATCAAGTTCTGCTAGATATATAAGGGTGGGTGTTAGTTCCGGGCTCCAGACCTTGCGGAATCATTCTTGAAGAAAGGAACGAATTTTCACTTTACTCTTGAAAAACCCGGAAAATAAACTGGTCTTGGTGTAATTTTGACTAACTGAAATGAGTCACCGCAGAGCTCAAATGCTTGGAGTAATCAGTAAATTAATATTAGAAGGAAATGAAAGGGAAATATCGCCAATAAATTGTAAAATGAACAGCCACGCTAGTGTGGGTCCTCATTATTCTTCTTCACATTATTGTGCAATCAGGAAACTGCGGCATGTTGCTGTTGGCTTTAATATTAATTCTAAAGTCACGACCTGTCAGAATGTTTCTGTTATAACGCTCGCTTTTATTTCGTCTAATGTTATAATAGTTGGTTTTCCACTTTTACATGTATGGGACGCTAATTTACCTTAGACGAATATCTACACTAGATTCCCTCCCAGTGTCTATTCTACAGGACGTCAACAGAACTCAAATCAAGAAAACATGACTATCCTGACCACAACGTAAATATACTTCCACACCAAAAACCCGGCACAATCCAACAATAATGTACAATAATAAGTGTGAGTAATAATAAGGATAGGGTAATATATAACTTATGTGACACCTGTCAGACTATCTACATGTCTGACTAAGCAGACAACCAATCATTGTCATTCTCGCCCACGCATCAGTTTCAATGCCTTTAAACGTTATTTATCATTTGTTTCAGAAATAAACACAGCAAGTGTTTCGGTCACTGGTTGTTTATTAGATATCGGATGATATGAAACCATTATGATGGACATTCTGACTGATACATTAACCAGGTGACTCCGCAACACATTGTACTGAAAACACGTCTCTAACGGTTTGGAATATACATAACTCGCGAATTCCTCACCACTAGGATAAAAAAAGGCAATTTGCATGCTGTATGCTATCGTTTAATTTGGAAGTTTAAAGCAATAAACAAGTTTCAGACAGCTATTTTCACAAATTTTTTTTTAACTTCAGTCTTGTAGATCGTGATTCATGTCAAACTGAGTCCTTATTCCCAATGCTCACCGGTCGATGCAATGTACGTGTAATGCATTGTTTCGTCTGCAGACGTCTTGCATCCCGCTGGATAGTTACAGAGTGTGGGACAATTTTACCTGTCGATCCATGTCCAATATGTGACGTATGCATCCGACTGCTACTTTACACTGCTGATGGAAAGAAGATTAATCCGCGTTTTAGAGTTTTGATGTATTGTGGAGAGGAAATTGTAGTATGAGGCCTCATGTAAATAATTTAAAATAAATACTTTAAAAAAGCATTTCACTTTTCACAAATCAAACTCTAAAATTACACTAATAGCAATCTTCAGCTGTTTTTCTGTAGAATTTCGATAATCTAATTAACAACACGTTACATATCCTTCACTGATAGTTTACGTTTCCACCTACTTCCTATATATTTCAGACAATAAATCTTATGGGTCTTCCTAGAGAAGAGAAAAACAATGAACAAGCAGCGAACACAAACCCATCAGTAGGAGAATCAAGCGCAGATAAAGTTGCGGCTGCTACTTTCGGTGTTTTATCTGAAATTTCAAGTCTCTTAAACACAGGTAAACGTGGTAAATTTAATCAGAATCCCCAGTTGATGTCCACTTTAATACTAAAAACGACTAAATTATCTACTGTAACAACGCAAAACCTGGTTAAATAAAGATCGATCTTATATTAATTTTCAAGCTAATTAGTTAAAAACAAGAAGTGGTAGTTGCGCGTCACAACTTATTAGGACTTATCAAATGTTAGGTGAACATTGATTTTAGATCCTCTGAATAACTGTTCTATTAATATTATTATCATCATCATCACAAAATCGTAGCTCAAAAATGTCCCATTTATAAGCCTTATTGACTATCGCACTTTTGATTGTGACTAGATTTCTGTACACGAATATATCTTAGTTCTAAATATCTTATAGCACTACCGATTTCGTAATCATAGTGGACATTAAGATCTTGGTCTCACAACTTCCCACGATGGAGATGTCACTGAAAGTGGGTATTATCATGTTTCTTAATTCCACAAGTATGACACGCAGTTGTGACTGGTTGATCGAAAAATTCTACATTCATTTCATCGTAATATTTCACAAATATTACGTAAGCTTACTATATGCTGTTCTCTCGAATACCTACGATCAAATTCGGAGTTGTGAGAAATTATGAATGGGGCCTTCAGGATGACCTACAACCCTCATCTTCATCCGAATTCTTTGTAGATGTCCTGTCACAAATGGTGGGTTTGTATGAAATTAGGAAATGCTATTGGTTCCTCCTGTAATGAAATAGTGTGGCAAATTAATTTGTCTAAATTTTTCATTAAACATATAGTGTACCCGGGTCAACTTCAATTCACGTAATTTTCATTTTAGGTTTAGATAATGAAGAATTGCTGATGTGCATCAAACTAATTGAGAGCGGTGTGAACCCAACTACTCTAGCTTTACTTGTAAACAATGTGAAACAACAGTGCGAACACCTTTCTGAACTCAAAAGATAAGTTAAACTTTGAATCCTGTATTGCATATTCAGAGATTGCAAAATAAAGATTTATTAACAAGAAAGAAATCACAGCTTTTCAACGAGTGGTGTTAGCAACAACCTTGTAGTGTAATTAAATTTGTAAACAAAGCGATTACCAATAGTCCAATGTAAGAAACAAAGAAATAATACAATACATAAGTAGGATATGTCATATAGTAATAAGGAAGCCTTTCAGTATGACAACTCAACCGATGGCATCAGCTATTATTCGGCTAACAACGGGATCAGATGAACGTACTGTGATTTGGAAAGTTACACCCTGTTCGTTTGAATGAAGGGATGCATCAGACAATACTTTAGCAAGTTTACATAAGGCCAAAACTTGGTACCCACCACGATATACTCCGGACAGAAGGAGCTGATGAGATGACTTTCCTTCATGAGGCATATGATCAGTTTGATCACAAGGCTGAAGTCCAAGGTGATCGATAATTTGACGCATCGTTTCTAAAGTATGAGGAAATAACCAATGATTTAAAGCGAAGAAGCATGAGGATTCGTTACATATCTGTAAAAACCAGTGTTTTACAATAAATGTCATTTGATGATCATGAGCAGCTACATAGTATATGTTGCCCTACCCTCCAAGAAACAAAATTACGAACAATTCAGCCGTGTTCTTTCAAAGCATTGACAAAAGTAATCTAACTCTTTATTACACACTAAATAAAAACAATAACCTTAGCTTAATTCCGTTAATTGTGTAGACCGAGGCAGAGTACACCCATTTCTAAGGTAAGAAAATAGATTAGTTTTAAACAGTTCTTTAATGAGAAAAATGTAAATTCACTAGACATTTTCATCTAGCAAAATAATAGTGAGCCCTATAGATTTTGAGCAGGTGACAAAAAAACGGTAAACCTCGAGGGTTTCCTATAGTTTTAAAATATGAAAAAACCCATTGTGATTATAAGAAGACAGATAAGTTGTTTTTATCGTAGTCAACATGCTTTACTTTAAAATACTTCGTAATATACTATACCCTGTTCGGGAACAAATCTATTGATAAATTTGACTTCGTTAAGACACTATACTTTTGTTTCGATAGTTAAATAATGTTAATTAAAGTTAATAGAATGTCTAACATTTTGATGCACACACTGTGTTTGTATTAATCAAATTGATCTGCGTAATTCATTGGTCAATTAGTTCGAAGTAGCAGACTGCAAGTGTAAGATAAAGTATCAACAGTAAAGTTTAGCATACCTTTAATAGTTTTTGTGCTTCACCAGCATATACGTTTCCTCTACTTCAGTTTCAGGACTGAGTTCCTGCCAAGCCAACGTAAAGTTCTGTTTCGAAACACGTTGAATATGATCTGAAATACCTAGGACCAGGTCTTCCAACTGTTATAAAAGTCGGAAGTGTTAGAAAATGAGAAACCAGAAAAGTGGATAGCGGGATATGATGTACCATAACAAAAGCATACTTAGCGACTTAATTGTTATTTTATGAGCAAAAATGTATGATGGCTAGCTGTGGAATCTAGGATGTGCGTTTCGTCGTATTGGGGACTTTTCGGTTGGATTTACCGGCATCACCGAGTTGATGTTCCACCCAGGACTCGAACTCAGTACCGCTCGCTCCAAACGCCATCACAAAAGGTGCTGGGTTCGACTCCCGGATTAAACATCAACATTTGGGTGCAGTTACATCTAACTAACAAGTTCCAAATAGTACGAAGCGCGCATCCTGGATTGCACTGCTAGCCACCATCCATCTTTGCCTATAATACTTATGACTCAAGGCAATCCGCGCAGGATGTGCATATGCCAGTAAGAGACTGGTCGATCGCACTCCTAAACATCGATGGGAAAATAAGAACGAACAATACAAAAACGAATTAATTATAATGTGATATTCCCAACGAAATGAAACCTTTTTTGCTTTACTAACATGCGACTGCAATTTGTTTACGTCTAACTGGAACATAGTACAGATCCACTTTTGTTACTTAGTTACTTTATTGACAATGTTCGACTACATATGCGCCTTGAAACTAAATACTGAGTAAATTAACAATATTGACGGGCCTTCGTGTGGATTACCGAATAATTCACTTGATACGACTGTTTAGTATTTTTCAGATCTAAAAAACTACTTGTTAAAGAGCAATGACTACGTTCGTTAAACGTGTAAGGTTTAAAATGGATCAAATATGAAACAAGTTAAACCTTTGGATTTATTATTATTGTTCATACTGACAATTAACAAAGTATCACGTTCATCCAAACTTCTAATGATTTTCGGGTACTAAAATAACAGTCTAGCCATACAACTACAAAATTAGGTGTATTACATGGATAAAATATTTCCTGTAAATATCTGGTGAGATATTTAGAAAATGATCAGCAGAGTTGGCTAACCAATGTTCATACCAAAAGTAATCGTACGTCTTCTTACGAATTACTGTATAAGTCCAGTATACGAGGTAGCTGTAGAAAAGCGGTATGTGTCTATGAACTGTGATTAATGATACAAGTATAGTCTTGACATGCCAAATTGCTGCTTTTTTAGGATTTATTTTACAGAAGACTCAGTGAAAGATAAATTATATTTACAGAATCAAAGTTTATGACATGATGTGTAACACAAACCTCCATTGGGCCCACAAATAACTTACTTGATATTCGTCTGCCAAACCAGGATCCGAAGGGTCAGACTCAATATCTTTGATAGTAAATTTCAATATGTTGATAAATGTAGCAGAATGACATTCTAGATCCTCCGGCAACTCAACTAGAACATACGTCACAGCGGGAGAATTATATTTTAAGCTTTTGCAAGGTACTGTGCAGACAATGTTAAACATGGGATCGTCCGGCTCACACGAAACATAGACATTCTCCAAGACTTGGTCTGCCATTGTATTGACACAATCAAACTGAAACAAATGATTGAATGAAATCAGAGCGAGCAGAGAATAAACAGAAAGTTACTCACTTCTATATGGTATTGAATTACTTGACAATCTATAGTTTGATGTGATAAGACTAAGAAAAGACGAATCCGGACTTTATATAGCAGCAGTGGTCTAAACCTTGTATATATAGGGCCTAGAATCGTGGTCTTAAGGAAATTTAATGAGATATTAAGAGCTATCAGGCAAACAAAACGCAAATGTGGTTCATTGACTCATCTTTACTGTTTTCTGTATCAAACGAAACGATATCTGTATTGTCGAACTATATAAGCTTCAACAATTAAATTAACGAAAAATAACTCAATACTCAGAACCAATTGTGTTTACGTGTAAAAAGTGCTTCATGCTTGCTAATAAATGTTTGGAAATCTGACTCACCTGCAAGACTAAATGCCTTGAGAATAAATGTTTTATGCATGTTACTACATATTCAGTGTCAGATTCAGTTAATTCTACTAATGAAGAAGATTTGAATATGGAGCCAAGACCAGAAAATTCGGGTATAGATGCCAGCTGCTCAGCAAATGAATCTTGAATACGTTTCCCTGACATCTGAGAAACAAGTGATGTGTTTCGACCTTCACCAGCCATGGTATTAGATTTAGCTTGAAAACAACATCAGAATTTATTAAGAAATAATCAAAGTACTTTGTCCTGATAATTGTGAAAAAACAAATGAATATATCGCACTAGAAACAAGATGGTAACCTCGGACTACACATATCAATGTATTTTGCAGCAGAGAAATGATAAGTGAGAGTGTATCCATCACAGCAAATAATTTCGAGTCGTATCATCTGATACTGAACACATGTGTGTAAATCACGACAATCGTTTCAACTCTCCATATACTTCAACCCAATGATCAGTGTCCCAAGAGTGCCGCCATATTTTCGTCTGACTATCCTTGATCTTTTTTAGTTAAGCTGTACTGTTTGAGTAACTCACTTATACAAACCAAATTAGTTCTACCGTGGGATTATTATTTCAAAATCACAATAGACTACTAGTTAATATATATTTTGTCCGCTCGCGATAGTGTTTTTATTATTTCTAGGTTGATCACAGAACAGATAAGATGTGATAGGCGATAAGTATACATATAAAACTCCCACAGCAAAAATACCTCATATAAAATTACATCATCTTTAACTCGGTAACAATATTTTAAACGATGTCCACGAACTTATTCCAAAATTAATTTTTTATTGAATACTCCCTCGGATTATTATTAATACGCATAAGACAGTTTTGCTTACCTTTAATCTTTACAACATCCGATTCAATGGCAGAACTAAGATCATTTGGCTGAACAATATCAGCTATTGGGACTGTCGCCAAAGAGAAAGGACTACCAGCAACTGTGTGTGAGTTGTGCACATAATCCAACAAAGCACGCTCTAAACCAGATGGACTTAGATGCATTTCTTCACTTAAAAGGTAAGCAGATTTTAATGCTACTTGGTTATGTGATAAAATATAGTGGTAGAAGGCTGCGCGATCACGAACCTCATCGTCTTCATCAATCATAATTCTAGACATAGATGAAACAAAAACAAGATGGTTTTGAAGGTAAGTCAAAACAATGACCATTGAAAGGATCCGTTTGTTTAATACACAGAAAAGAATAATAGCGAGCTTAGTCCCCAACTATATTTGATTTAGATGACACAACACTAACAGAATGGTGAATTCAAAAAGCTAGAAAAAGGCGAAGGACAGGTCAGAAAGTCTTCGTGAAGGAAATACAAAAAAACGTGACCAGCATTTGAATGCATTGTCTATTAATAAACGTTTCGATGTAATTATCTATTGCACTCATGTTCAGAATATTGTCGTGAATAAAACTGATATGAACAACAAACGGTTGTGATAAACATGCAGTGTGCTCCGCACAAATCTTTAGGCTACCTCCTTTCCAAATATAAACAACAAAGACCCATGTGTTTGGTTTATTCAGACTAACTATTATTGTTAAACACTAAGGGTTGAGTTAGAGCTTATGGCAAAATGTCATCGGAATTGATAACTTCTTCAGGGTTGTCTGCTTCCCTTCTCTCTACCTAACCTTGTCATAACCATGCTTTTGGAGATAACGCCCTAATTGTCTGACTCATCAGAAATCTATCCTCAACCAACAAACTCACTTATTGACTTAAAATTCGATGATATATTTCTGTTAGGTGAAGACACTGAAAAAATGCAAGCTCCTGACCACTTTGAACAACAATGCAAGCGTTTCTCTCCATCACATTGCAGAATGTTACTCCAGAACTGGTCTGCGCCAACGCCTGAACTAATGATAGGAAGTGAAATAATTAGGTACGTCGATCTCTTGACCTATTTTGGAAATCTTATAAACCTTGGTGTATGAAATTGCCCAAAATCGTTCGCAATGGCACAAGTACACTTATTTTTTGTCTGCCCTTACATTCTATGTATTTAAATTTTGGCGCGAAACTTTCTCGTTCATATGGCAAAAAAGCATTTTGGTATTACAGCTGATATCAGTTCGTAATGAAAACTGCGACTTATTTTTAACCCTCACGCTCAACAGTAAATTAGTCGAAGTTCTCAGCGTCATTTAAGCATCCCTCAAAGGTCGTCTCTAAATTAGTCTCACCGACAGATTTTGCGTTGCGTATGACTGATTCACCAATATTGTTCATTAACCCCTTCTTAATACTTATGGATATTAAAAGAAGCTTGTAAGCCATCACTATGCTGAACATCTTAGAAATGAAACGGAAGAGGTTGGTTCTATATTTCTCTATGTTTCTATCCTCGCAGGACGAAGGGACAAGTACATTATAATTCATACCTATTTGTCTAGATTGAGAAGTCATATTATACACCGTTTTTATGGACGTCGTTCTTATTACTGTCTTTGCACTGATGCGAAAAAATTTATTCAGACGAATTACAACTCGAATGAGTAAAAAAAAATCAACGTTTATGAGTTCATTCAAAAAAAAACTAATTCAGTGTTCAGACCATTTCACGATATCAGTGTGAATCATCTAACTAGTGATGCTGCAGTTTAGTAATACACTTTATAGTACGTTTTGTCGTAACTATCGATCTCTAGTGGGCAGGTATCAACAGAATCTGAGTTGAAAGAACAAATGGGTGATTAACTACTAACTTTTTTATTATTTAAAGTCTTGCACATGACTGTTTGTTTTACGTAAACCATGTCAATTCAGACATAGCTTTAATTAATTCGAAATGTCATAAGATATAGACCATAAAATGTGAAGCTCTAAAATTCTAGATCCTTTGGTAGACAAAACGGCAGACTTAAGCTTTTAAGAATTATCCGATTACTGAGAGATTTTTAACACCCATCCCTACATTGAAATGTCCCATGATTTTTTAAAATCCTCACCTGTTAATAAATTGTTTATCCAAATTAAATTTTGTACGTCGCTTTACAAACACTATGTTGAATTCCACATTACAGGAATAGTCGAAGTTTGTACGAAGTGCTATTGCCAAATCTAACAAAGCTCAACATGAACAAAAATTTATAAAAAAACCAGACAACAAAAAATTGTGTATACCGTTTAAGAAGTACAAGAATACTCGGAAGTAATTCCTCATTGTGTGCAGCAAACCTCGCCAGAGCTGTTGTAGCTGTGCACTTAATGGGAGCTGATTCGAGCATAACTCTATTGTAAATGTAACGAGTAAATTGACGAGGACGTTTGAGGTAGGGTCCCTCCCGTCCTAACAGATGGAGTATACGCTGTGTTAGTTTAACATGTTCACAATCCTCTATGAAGTCACATAATTGTAACAAACCTATATTCAGATTAGAAATAAGAAACACATATTTAGTAGCGAAGTATAAGCATGTCCAAGCGTTAACTTTTATTGTGTCTAACAAATCAAAGAGTGAAAGGGGATAGAGTGTTTAGCAGGAGACGACCTACATGTTTGAAATATTTATCAGTACGATACTGTTTTGAATTGAGTTTTGGTAGAGTTCAACCTCGATTATTAAGTTTATTATGTGAGAAAGTATAAAAATTACTGGTTAGCCATTTAGCATTTAATTAATAAACCACAGGCTCGAATCACACGTTCCATAATTTTCTTTACGCAGTTGGACAATATCATTAGTCCAAATCGGATTACATACATCCATATTTAGCCAATGAGTTACTGTAACCCTATATAATGAACATATGTTGGAGATCCTTCTACATGAAACAAACGTAAAAAAATATTTCACGATGAGCGAACCTTGTGTAAAGATTAGTCTGCCCAATAAACTTCCACTTACGACCCCATGATGACGGAAATATTAGACTATAAATTTAATCCAACACTTATTTATGGAGCATGGTCAGACAAACATGATACACAGCTCCATATTGGCACATACAGTTAGCAGTGGTCAGATGGTCGATAAAACTACTTAGTTTCAAGTGATTTATCGTATCCTTCATTCACTTCTCAATAAAACTCGATTTCGTCTTGCCCATATAGCAGAAACTATAGGGATCCGAGTCTATAACTCCAGTTCATGTGTTCAGAAAAAATTCGTGACACCCCTGTCCTTTCGTTGTCTGGATATGATTTATTAAACGATTTCGCTGATTTACTTACGTGCTGTAATTGTTTTTTGTCCTTCACCTCTTTTTGTCTATATTCTGATTATTTACATGACTTTTTGTTGCGTAATTTTATTTATTTATTCCAGTTTGAGCTACTTCCTATGTTAAACTCTTGACTAGAACTTTTATCATTTCTATCACTACTAGTACATCTATCTGCTTACCATTAATTTGTATTTTTCCTCTTATTACGTTTATTTGTGTAACCTGTTTCATTGTGATCACTGACTCACAAACTGCCTTGATTGTTTCAATATTTTTATATACCCAGACAAATATTTTATGCGTACAAGAGTAAGAGCTGATGACAACCCGATTGAGAACAATATTGTTTGCTTGCATGTGTTCTAACTTACAATATGGAAATTTTTAACGAACTACTCTGTAAAAATTTCCAGAAAAACATAGGGCAAAAGTAAATCATCAATGCTGGTGAACTACTTGCAATCACGAAAACCACTGTTTAGTCTGTATCTTACATTTTTAGTAACTCAAATAGTCATACTGTGATCCGTCGGGTGTGGAAGAATGGTATTTGTCTGGCTGATGTGTCAAACTAAGTGAACTGATGTAATCAACTTGGCTGGGTCTGGCGCCTAGTGAGACTATACAATTAAATACTGATTTTCTGTGAGGTTTTCGCAGTTTGAAGCATGTTCTCTTATCGGTGCGAATTCTGAGCGCAAAAAAAATTTATATATTCAAAATGTCTACATAACGGCTGATGAAACTCAGGGGTCAAAGCAAGCTAATAAAGTGAAAGGAATCGTAGAATCTGACAATTGTATAAAGTTATTTCAGCCAATAAAATCAGTTATCAGAAATCAGTGTCGTATGACATGTAGTAGTCCCAGTTACTATAAACATCTAAGCTGAAGGAAAAGCACGGCGAACAACATGCTCGATCCTTCTACAACTTTGACTAAATTCAACTGCAACTCCATAATTAATAAAGACCGATGAAACATACGGTGCGTAAATGAAGAATGAATTTTATTTACTACAGTGGGTGGTAAACAGCTTACATAACTGCTGCCGCCCCCCATCCGCATTTTTAATGATGGAGACTTTTTAATCAAAAAGAAACCATTGTAGTACCCGTTTTGAAAAAAACACAATAAGTCCTAATCACGAAAATACAGTTCTACTACCAGTTACGTTGAGAATACTAGTTGGTGTACATCAAAGTAATTGTGTCATGTTTCATGCATTTCAATCGTCCACTAACCTAAATGTAATCTAACATCCTGACTGAAATAAACTAGCATTCGGAAAAGGCTACAGAAGCCCCCAACAAGATACGGAACCAGTTCATCAAGTTAGTGCCTGTTGGTCGAATCTTCACAAGATACGGTAGACTACTTCTATGAAGTCTTTGACATGATATATTACAATTTTTGTGAGTACGAATATCATGTAATTCTGAGATTTGCTAAACTATTTCTAAATTAATCTGAGCATTCAGATTCATAAGCATACAAATAATCAATTGCTAATTTTACAAACATTTACGCATATCCAATGACACCTGTTCACGATACCAAAGAAAGGCGATCTCAGCAAGTGTGATAACTACAGAAGAATCACACTACTGTCAGTAACAGGAAAGATCTTCAACAGGGTGTTGTTAAACAAAATGAAAGACTCTGTAGGCGCCAAACTTTGAGATCAACAGACTCGATTCGCAAGGATCGATCAGATACCGACCAAATCGCAACACTACGGATCATTGTGGAACAAACAATTAAATGGAATTCACCACTCTACATCAACTTTATTGATTACGAGAAAGCATGTGATAGAGTGGACAGAACAACACTAAGGAGGTTTCTTCAATACTACGGAATCCCTATGATGGATCGAACTTCAAAATCGTGCATAGAAGACAGCTGACAGACTCGTTCGAAGTAAAGACTAGTGTCAGGCAAGGTTGCTTACTCTCACCCTTTCTCTTTCTCCTGGTGATCGACTGAATCATGAAGACGACAACATCTCGGGGGAAGCTTGGGATACAGTTGAAGTCTAGGATGCAGCTGGACGATCTAGACTTCGCAGATGATATGGCTCTTCTATCGCACACGCAACAACAACTGCAGAAGACGACCAGTGTAGCAGCAGCCTCAACAGCATTAGGTTTCGACATACAGGAGGGCGAATGCAAGATTCTCCGATACGATATAACATGCACCAATCAAATAATACTTGACGGAGAAGATTTGGAAGATGTAAAAACCTTTACATATCTGGGCAGCATCATTGATGAACACGGTGGATCTGATGCAGATGTGAAGGCGCAGACTGGCAAAGCAAGAATAGCATATTTACAACTAAAGAACATCTGGAACTCAAAGCAACTGTCAACCAACACCAAGGTCAGGATTTTCAATACATCTGTCAAGACAGTTCTACTGTATGGCGCGGAAACCTGGAGAACTGCAAAAGCCATCATTCAGAAGATACAAGTGTTTATTAACAGCTGTCTACGCAAAATACTTCGAATCCGTTGGCCAGACACTATCAGCAACAAACTACTATGGGAGAGGACAAACCAGATTCCAGTGGAGGAAGAAATCAGGAAGCGCTGGAAGTGGATAGGACAAACATTGAGGAAAGCAACCAACTGCGTCACAACGCAAGCCCTCACTTGGAATCGTCAAGGCCAAAGGAGGAGAAAGATCAAAGAACACATTATGCCGAGAAACGGAGACAGACATGAAAAGAATGAACAAAAATCGGATAGAACTGGAAAGGAAGGCCCAGAACAGAGTGGGTTGGAGAATGCTTGTCGGTGGCCTATGCTTCATTGGGAGTAACAGGCGTAAGTAAATAAGTGATATTCAATTGTTTGCAGTCAGTTTTAAAGACAATTTTGAGAGAGTTTGTGTTTCAAAAAACTATTTGAAATCAATTCTCTGATGATCAAGAATTATCTTATTTTGCTAAATTTTAGAAATAAAAAAAAGTTTACAGAAACGCGTAAGACAAACCCACCTATACTTTTGGCTTCTGGAATTTGTTTGATAATTGATTCGATAGCAACCACAACTGCTTTTTTAAAAGTGTATCCAGCCGAATCACGAAGAAGTCCAGATAAAAAGTTTAATAACACTGTATACTTTTTGGGGTACTTTGTTGCTAATGCATGGATAGATTCCAATACGACTATTTTAAACTCATCGCTTATTTCACTCATGAACGGAGATACATGTTTTAGCAAACGTTCAACATTCGACTCGTTACCCGTCTAAAAAATTTAATAAATTAATAATATTCTAAGCTGTGTAATTCCATATAGTCTATAACTATTGCACATTACAAGTTATATTGCGCCAAATTGAGTTCTCACACATTTTAATAACGTTGAAAGAGGAAACCAGAAAAATAAGAAAGTAAAAAAGTGAATCAATGTTGAGTATTCACAATAGTATTAATTATCCATACTCCTACCAACCGATGTTTTATAAAACGAAAATCCTACAGAATGGGAATAACTTACCAATCACTTTAGGCAAACCACAGAACTAGCTTAAAAGAAACCCTATGTTTAAGCTCTGGGCTACTAAAGAATCTACGACAATAAAGTATAGATCGATGCGGTGTTCCCATGTATGTTTTTACCTTGTAGGTCTTAAATTAGATCTACGATCGTTGAAAGGGCACAATAGTGTACCAAGTACAAGCCAAGTACGTTGAATCAGAAAACTAATATTTACCTGTCTTGATTTTAGATAGTTTATGGCCGCCAACATCAGTTACTTTAGGTATTAAAGAGGGGTTATGGTGGATACACAACTCACTGATATTGATTACTGAAGGTCGCTTGGGAATTGCTAACTGCTACCGACCAAGGTTTGTGCAGATTCTGATCATGGTGGGAATCACAAATAAAAATGAAGCTAGTAGTCTACCGCAGTTTTAATCACTTACCTTTAGTAAAGTTGTTATTGCAAGTGTTGCAATGCTTCTATTAGGATCACCGATTAGTTGCTCAAGATCGAGATTACATGCAGTTACCGCTGCAGGATGGTTACTGGCGACAGCATTTAACGTATGTACAGCAGCATATCGTAACGCAGGTTTGGAAGACGTACAAAGCAGTTGTAAAACACCCACAGCAGGTGCTAACTCTTTAGCTGTTAAGTTTCGGAGGCTAATTATTGCTCGAGCTGCTTCATATATGACCATCTCCGATTTATGGCGAAGAGATGACTCCAAAAACTCATATAATTGTGGATTATTCCTTAAGAAAGTGTGAAAATATGGTTTAAGGGGTAGAAAAGACATTTTAAAACGGCAAACTGCGTTTGAAGATGTGAAGAAGATAGAATAGCACATTATACATATCATACAAAATATGTGAATCAAATAAAAATAATATATTTGTAATATCCCAATGAGTAGAAAATTGGATTTTCTGACGTTTCGTGACTTAGTGTAAGTCACTTCTTCAGAGAATAAATAACCAAATTAAAATTAACCCAAGTTTAAATAGTACAATGGAACAATGCAAGAATAATATTTGATCAATCAAAAAACGTTCCATATAACGCTTAATCCTACTTCTCTCAATAGAAAGGAAGGTCTTACCATACATCCTACTTGGACCATCTATCCTAGCCATTCAGTCTGATCGTATTTACAATTTCACACTATCATATTACAAATTTAAACTCTATCCTTTCTTACCATAAAGGTCACAGAAGTTTTCATTCTTAAACAATGCACATATACATACAGATCACCTATGAATCACCTTGACAGAAATGACATGACATCAACTTGTTCAGACCTGTTTTTTGATCGATCAAATATTATTCTTGCATTGTTCCATTGTACTATTTAAACTTGGATTAATTTTAATTTGGTTATTTATTCTCTGAAGAAGTGACTTACACTAGGTCACGAAACGTCAGAAAATCCAATTTTCTACTCATTGGGATATTACAAATATATTATTTTTATTTATAACAATCAACCCAATGCTCAATTTATTCGAAATTATCAAATCAAACCTCGGTAATGACACCTATGTGAATCAAAGTCAGAAATCATTTCTCAGTATAGTGTATGTACACAGCAATTGATGTGACCCAGACAGTTCAAACAAATTCGATTTGTTTTGGAATACAGGAAGTATAGGACATTACTATGGTTTATACACCTTAAAATTTTAACAATACATACGACATACTTCACGCGAAAATGACGACAATATATGACCAAACGTGGTCTACGAGCTAGTTAAGATTTTGAAAAGCATGAGAACTTCTCATATGCAATAGTCGAGAGAGCATATGGATATGGAAGAATTACTCCGATCCTAGTGTGGTCATTCACTTGAACTCACTTCGGCGAAACGGAGAGCCGATGAGATACACCCTGCGTGTATTTGGAGACCCGATGGCTAGTTCTCGTCAACTGGCAGGTGTGGGCATAGCACTGAGTACGACGGCGGAACAAGCCCTATTAGAGTGGATCCCCGTTAACAGTCGCCTATGTGTTGTTCGGTTAAACGGCTACGTGAGAACTCAGAAGGGTAGGGACACACATTGCCTTTTTGTCGTTTCTGCCTACGCTCCCTTCTGAAAATCTTCAGAAAGCTAACGGTTCGAACATAGCACTCATAGCAGATGACTTTAAGGCCCAGGTAAGTAGCTGAAACCACGCAGGAAGACATTTAGGTGAGTATTTTACTATTCCGGTTCAGCGAACAGATAATGGTGATCGTCTGCTGCAACTGTGCTCAGACAACCATTTATTTTTCAGTCAGTCAGTAACAACGTAGAACTTCGTACGTACGTACGTACATCAGTTCGAGTTGCCATACCACATTAGCACAGAGATGCAGTCGACTCAAATTCCGTTGTGGTAGAGGTAGTAACAGTATAAACAGTAATTGGAAAGATTAGGGTTTGAAGATGTTAGTCAAGGAGTATAATACACTGAAATAAATTTGGAAAGAGGAAAAAAAGGACATGAAGAATTCAGAAGATTAGAATTTGGGAGAACACAAAGAGTAGATGTACCTGCGCCATTGCAAACGATTTTGAGCCATGTCATTCAGGGTCTCTAACCATCGGTTGCTATCATCTCGCGGTCCCCAACCAGGTAGTCTACACCTACCAACATGAATCAGTCCACTTGTCAGTGACTTTATGGACTTGTGCCACGTTTTGGTCTGGCCACCCCTAGCTTTCTTCCAACCTACTCCTATACCACTGAACATCGCACGTCGAGGCAGTCAATCGTTGGCCATACGTAACACGTGTCCCAGCCATCTCAACTGATGAAGTTTCACTACTTCATCAATTGATTTGCCATCCTTACCTAGTACCCGTTTCCTAACAACTGAGTTATTTATTTGAACACATGAATATTGGTACAAGAGAGCGCCAATATATATGCGCCACACAAAACAATGAGAATTCGAAGAGAAAGAAAAAAATGTAAGGAGCGTGAAAAAAAAGAGAACAATAACGAAGAGATTGGTGTAAGGTAGTGTGGTAGTAATGAGGGAACGGAAAGGTACAATCAGAAGAAATCTTTCAGGTAAGGGAGACACAACCACTTTTATGAAGAAAGTAAAAGAAGGTTACAGCAGGATCGCCACTGGCTTCTATTCTGAGCCATATCTGATAACGTCTCTAGCCACTGTGTAGCACCATCTCTCGGACCCCAACCAGGGAGTCGTGAAGGACCGACAGAAGCCAGTCCTTTGCAGCTTTCTTTCATACCACGACACCATGTCATGCACTGACCACCTCTCCGCTTCTTCCAACCAGTCCCAGAGTCGGCAAATAATGCGCGACGTGGAATTCTCTGGGACGACATTCGTACAACATTTTCAAACCACCGAAGTCGGTGTTTCAAGATGGTGACACCAATTGAATTATCATCTCTGTGCCCGAACACACGATGCCGAACCTCTGCATTACTGACATGGTGTTGCCACTGAATGTCAGCAATCCTTCGGAGACAGCGGTGATCGAACGCAGAGAGTCGTCTAACGTCCTCAACTCGGAGAGACCAGGTTTCACAAGCATAGAGCAAAACTGCTCTCACCGACGCGTTGTAAATCCGACCTTTTACAGCCAGACTAACATCACGAAGGCAACAACTGAGTTACTTACTCGATGGTCCCAGCATATACGAGCAATGTTTCGAAGACACCTATGATCAAATACTAGTAACCTACGGATATCCTCCACTCTTACCGGCCATGTTTCACTGCCATAAAGTAGAACGGAACGAACTGCTGCGCAGTAAACACGTCCTTTAGTTGATAGGCGGATACCTCACCTACACCATAAATGACGCAAGTTGGTAAAAGCTAGTCGAGCCTTCTGTATCCGTGCTGAGATTTCGTCACACACCAGACCACAAGGGCTGATGAGACTCCCCTATCATTAGTTCGGGTGTCGATGCAACCCAATCCTGAAGCAACATTTTGCATTTCGAGGGAGAGAATCGCATCCCGAACATGGCTGCATTGTGCTTAGAGTGATCAGAAGACTCTGCATTTTGTCAGCGTCTTCACCAAATAAAACTATGTCATCATCATATTCTAAGTTAACAAGTGAACCTCCCAGTAGAAGTTCAACCACTGGAAATTTAGATGAGGAGAGTGTTATCTCTAAAAGTACGTCGACACAAAGTTGAACAAGAATGGAGAGAGTGGACAGCCCTGACGAACACCACTTGAGGTAATCAATTCTGATGACAGTTCACCATAAGCTCTCACTCTACCAGTTGTGTTCGAGTATAGAGCCTTTATAAGGTTAATGCACTTCTTTGGTACTCCTTTCAGTGACAAACACTGCCATAGAACCTTGCGATCAACAGAGTCAAATGCCGCCTTAAGGTCGAGAAATACTACCATTGTGGGACGTCTGAACGTGTGTCTGTGTTCCAGAACCTGACGTAGTGTGAATATCCGGTCTATACAACCACGTTCAGGTCGAAAACCAGCCTGATTTTCTCTAGTCTGCTCTTCACGAGCTTTGATTAGGCGTCGAAGTATTATTGAAGCTAATATTTTAGACACTATATTTGTCAAACTGATTCCTCTGTGATTGTCACAAGAGGACTTTTGTCCTTTCTTATAGACTGGCACAATCAGTGATTGAAACCAGTCAGATGGGATTACGTCCAGTTCCCAGATTCTACCTAAGACCTCAGTTAATCTCACCGCTAATTATTTATTTATTTTAACACATAAATATTGGTACAAGAGGGCACCAAATATATATGCGCCACACCATATTTATGAGTGCGTGGACTGTGATACTTCCCGGATGCCCAGACCGAAACAGGTGCTTTTCTTAGGGGACCACACCCCGAGCCTTTGACCTAAAGGTCTGACCCACAAGGCAGTGGGGCATCGTGAGGAGATCCAGTCCCATGGAAGCCGGTGACCAAAGACTAGTTCATACGCCATTTGTCCCCTCAGGATACTGGAGCCCATATGCACCGCTAATACTGGACCACCATCCTTAAAAATCTCAAGGGTAAGCCTGTCAGGACCTGCTGCTCTCCCTCGCTTCAGATTTCCTATTGCTTTTTCAACTTCGCAAAGAGACGGAGGACCTACATTAACTTGCCATGCAGGTTGACTGGAGATCGTTGAAAACCGAAATGTGGCTGAAGGCAAGTTGAACTGATCCCTAAAGTGTTCCGCCCATCGATCCAATCTCCTGGATTGAGAATGTATAATATGTCCATCTTTCTCCGAGATTGCTTCGCTAACAGTCGGGTTCCTAATACCGGTTTCCTTAACAAGTCTGAACAATTGTCTGCTATTACCTATTGCCGCTGCCTTTTCCATCTCTCTTGCTTTCGCTACCCACCACTGTTCACGATCATTGCGTAGGCTTCTTGTCAGCTTGCGCTTAAGCTGACTTCGCTCTTCGTTATGTTCAGATCCAGATGGGATGAGTTTCCGAGCATCTATCAGTGAGATAGATGCTGCTGAGATCCAGTGTTTTTCCCTAACCTTGTGTTTTACCGTATTAGCAGATATCATTGCTGTTTCCACAGCTTTTCGGATATCATTCCATGCTGCCTCGGAGTGGGCATCACATACATGGCTGCCTAACTGTTTTTCCAGTTGTTCCTCGAATATACTCTTAGCTTGATTATCATTGAGTATGACCCTAAGATGTTTCCTTGAAGCGTCTTTCCTACGTCCAGTAAGACGCTGACAAATATGCGCTCGCACTAGAGCATGATCTGAATCTAAGC